AGGTGCAGTCTTTCCAAGCATGCACGTTGCTTGTGAATTCCGTATTTGTTTGGTAACTGTCTGATTTCGTGGTCTATAGCCTTGAAGTCTTCCGACTCCAGCTTGAGTACCCCGACGTAATAATTTATTAGGCTTATGGCGTGCTCATTCTCAGCTTTGATAAAGTTCTTTGTCTTTGATAAACTTCTTGCAGTTTTGGCTAACCGCTCAATTCTCACTAAAATCTCTGCCGAGACTTTATCGTAGCTTTCACGGGTAGGTGCACTAGTTCTGTCTTTCACTATTCGAAGGTATTTATACTCTTGAGTTCCTTGCAATAGCACTGCTTTATAAACGCATACCTCGGTATTAGTGGCTGACTTTGCTGAATTTACTTCTAGCCTTACTACATCAAGAAACCTTTCAATTTCATCTGCCATATATTTTGTGATATCCTCCTTGGTCGCAAAGATCTTGAGATCATCCACAAACAACAGATGATTCGTAATGTGCATTCCTTGACAGTTGGAACCGTCACCTTTGGGTACCTTATATTGAGCCCACGGCTCAACGGTTCCATGCACAGGACGAATCACCTTGGAGATTTCCTCGTTTTATTTTCTCCTCCATTGCTTCTCATGTAACCCACCATCTGAAGATGATGCTTCTCAGAAACCTGCTGATCCACGATGGCATATTAAGCCTTTCAATGCATTTAATCAGGTGTCCGTGATTAACTGAATCAAACACATTTTCGATGTCATACCACGTAGTATAGAGCTTGTTCCCGTGCTCTCTGCAAACCACCAAGTTCAACAGTGCTTGTTCCTTCACACCCTGAATCTGGGTAACAGTTCCTTATTGACTGTCTGCAATTAGCTTACTCCTGGGCAACATCTAACTGCATGACGCGTGCCACATATTTCGTTGTTAACTTGTAACTTCAACAATCATATAATATATATATATATGATAAGAAAAAATAATTCAAGGTATTGGGTGTAGATGTGCCGCTCTTGTAATCAATTAAAACTAGCGGTTGCACCATACTTTATTTTCCATACATGAACAAGATAGCTCTGGAAATAGTAACATCTATCAATTAAAATTATAATAAAATGATATATGATGATACCTGCTTAGCAGTATCTTTATCTTTCACCGGCTTATCGTTTATTTTGGTTAATACATCTCCTGGTTTTAGTGATTTACTGGTTGCAGTTCCATTTTGCACCATACTCACAACAATATGACCCCAACTATCCTGAACTAGCATTTTCATCACGCGTTACTATTGAAAACTACGATGGAAATCAGTGTAAGATTAATTTTGTAGGGTCACATACGTTTATATTTTGTTTTATACAAGATTAGGGATAAATTGAAACTTCTAAATTTTATAAATACTGTAGAATAGTAATTTTCAGTCTCTATTTTTTATCCATAGAAGTAAAGATTCAATTAAGTGGTTTCTAGAGAATTTCAAATAATAATGAGTGTATGAATGGGATCCATTTTGACAATTTCATACAAAAGGTACAATTTATATCGAACCGTAAAGCTGAAATAAAATTAAAAATTTTAAATAAATTTAAAGCTTCCAGATTAAAAAATTACTTCATGCACAAGAATACCAGTAGGCATTCCAGTTTCGCTCCAGCTCATTTCAATTTCAAAACTATCCCAACCCTGTCGAGGTTTTGGCAATATTCGAATATTACTTGAACATTTCTCCGTTCTCCTGTATTTTATTAATATCTTACGTCCTTCCGCTGCTCGTATCACTTCAATCAACATCGATGTGTTATACACGGGCTGCAGTGATTAGCTATTTCCTTTCAAAATACATTCAAAATAAGTGTGAGGGAGCAACAGATGGATAGAAAATTTCCACAACAGGTTATTAACTAAAAGATAATCCGTGACCAATAAAAGCCAAACCTTTCCATCTACTGAGATTATTACATCATTGACAAAAAGCTTGCCGAGCAACGATGAAAATGGAAGTAATTGCACGACCTTTGGTAATGGACCCCTAGACAAAACTACACCAATTGCCATGTTTGACTTAACGTAAATTTCAACAGATGATTCCGTAGAAGTATCTGCAAACTTGCGGAATTGCATACAATCTTGATAGAAGAGAAACTGCATTGTTTCCTAAATTATAACATGTTCCAATTCGTACGTACCAACAATGCCTGATGTGGAAGTCAATGACATTTTTACAAGTTAGCTCCACCACGCCTCATTAACAATTGCAATGACAATGAAAATAGCAGCAGCATTCTTTATCTTTATTTATGCCTCTTTCGATACTTTTAGCAGAATTCAGAAGAAAAAAAATTGACACTTATGTAGCACAACACCAATTACCATGGTCCATGGAATTATTATGTAAAAAAGTATTGTTCGAGAACTGAAAATATTACAAATGACATTGACTCTAAAAACATAAAAGGCCAGTAAATATATAAATATATCTACAAGTACATGGCTTTACAGTCACATCCACACCCATAAGCGCAGTGGTTATTTTCCTTGAACCATGACACCATGTGTTCAGCATGACCACCATGTCCACATACGGCACACAATGTCACCACGCCTAAATTAAGAATGAATGAATTAATCCATAATAAGTAAATCTGATGCGCGAATTAAATAAAATTTAAATTGGGAAGAAAAGACTTTCATTTTCAAGAATATTTCAAAAAAAAAAAACACAAACATAATTGTAAAAGGTATAAATATTAATAAAAACCTGATGCAGGTAGTTGACATAGTGAACAAAAAAACATCCAACGAATGTCACACCTTTCACATTTGAAATCTATCTCTTTGTTTCCACATTTAGGACAAGCGCTACGGACTAAAGCAAAAAACTGAATATAAAAATACCGGCTGGAAACCTCCAGAAAATGAGTGGATAATACTAATTCTTAGTTCAACATTTCGTGAAAAAGCTAAATTTGCAAGAATAAACGCACAGTTATATCGATACCTCTCCATAACTAATCCAGCTTCAAAATCACTAAAACTAAAAAAAGACCATCTCATTTGAAGTCCATTTTATCAACTTTTGGCTCTACATAAATCTGTCTTTATAAGTAAAACTGTACCACGCAATGAAGTAGAATAAACTACACTCCTGCTGTATTTCAACACTTCAGCTGCTTTTGAAAACATTTTCCATCTGAAGAGTAGATCAGCATACTGATGACGTATTTCATCAAATCGATCGTTATAAGCAGGATCCAGAAAGCTATAAAACGATCTTTCATTATTAGTTATTGTACGCTAAAAATCAGTATGGAGTATTTCACCAAAAAAGTTATCACTAAAAAATTTTGTATAAAACATTGAGACCAATTCATTCTCATTAATATCAAATCTAAGCCCTATTTCTGATTTTCTGGTTTATCTTTTCTGCAGATAAGATATTTCTTTAAAATGAAATTGCAGAGAAGAGAATTTTAATTCCGTTTTGAATATTACATTATTTTTTCGCATGAATCTCAGATTATGCAATAGACTTTCTAACAGAACTTTTCAAAAGATTAGATTGGGTTGAAAGTAACAGATTATTCAAAGGTACACAAGCCTGTGATATTGTGGGATAGTTTTCGGAGTATCCGAATGAGCTACCACAGGTTTTGAGATATCTGAAGCCTCCGATATATCAGATGCAGTGCGGCAGCACAACCTGTCAAGTTCTGCAAAATAATGTCAATTGGAAATATTTCAAAAAGAAAAACGATATTTTGCTGAACAACAATACAAGTGCACAATCCCTGACTAAAATGCTCAAAGAAATTAAACATAATAATCCCAACAAATGCATATAAAATAACATATTTGATATTCACACTATTATTTCCTACTTTTTCTTTTTATAATACACTTTAGGAAGCAGTAATGCATAAAGATGAACTGTTAAAAAGGGATGCAACTCAGAATATTAAAAATGATGGTTGACAGGAAAACAACAAGAATAAGTAAATATACGGACAACCATAAACACCTGTTTTTGGCGTTTGAGTCGAACGGTGACCAATAAAAGCATTTTGAAGTAATGATGAAAAATTTCGAGAGGTCTTCGAGGCAAATGTTACTGAAGAAGGTTGCTCGCTTTTATTCAATCTTAAATAAAATACATATACCAGGGGATAAAATATTAGAGAGCATGGTTAACGAGAAGATATTAATAATAGGTATAAAACTGCTAACTTTGATAACTGTGTTATGATTCGAAAAACAATGACATAATTTGAATAAAATAAGTATCTATTACAGATTTAAGTATCTTAATTACCTGAACAAACAGTAAATGGCTTATTTTTCTTTTCTTCAACAATTTGACTGGATACAAATGACATTTAGCTAATTTCTGCTGAGCATGAAAACGAGGGTCGAGGCAAAAATAATTACATCTCGTGAAAACAGAAATAGCTTACTTTTCCTTTTCCTGTTGAAATGACCGAAAATTGGGGTTCAATATTGAACTGCCATGAAAGGTGTTATAAACTGAGCCCGCCTGAATTTAGATTAAATAAAAAGGGAATAACAGATTTTCTTTTTACATAAGAGTGGAGACCAGGTCAGGAACGATCTACCAAAGTACTAATGAGTTTACATGTAAATATATATATAGTGAATTTGAAAAATTCTTTCATGATACATGAATTTGCTTACAAAGAACCGAGAAAGACTTTGACGATTTGTTTGCACTACCATCTCATCACTCTGTAATAAAATCGTACACATGTAAAGAAAACACAAAGCAATTAGATTTCGAATCAGATGCGATCTAAAATTTCTCATATTTCTCTTTCAAATAAAAGTTCTTTCCAGTGCTTATTTTTTACTGTTAATGATTCATAACCATGATGAATAAGAAAATTTTGCAGTTAAAAACTGCATATATTTGTAGATCCTGACGAAATTACTAAAAAAAGCATTAATGAATAACTGAAGTGAAGGAATAACAAAAAAGATGAACTTCTGAATATACAGGAGCATGAACAGAAGTACTAATTGAACGTCTATAATGAAGAAAGCGGCTGGCTTCTAAATCTGCTTTAGAGTCAACAGTTTCGCAAATTCGTTCATTTTTAAGACTTAACGTACAAATAACCATGGCAGCTGTTTGGTAGTCATTCACACGCGAAAAATAATCCAATCTGAATTTTTATATCGTCAATGCATAAATTCCACAAAATCTAGTTCATGTAAAATAATAAGGTGAAAGTACTGATAGACATGAGTGAGGTGAATGATGATGATCCAGCAATATTTACAAACTGCTAATAAGAGAACGTCCGAACGGATGTAGTGCTATATTTAAACAGTCTTCTTTTGAAAGATTTTCCTTAGAAGTTCCAGGATTACTCATAGCATTGGTATTTGTTGCGCCATCATCAAGGACATAGTGCTTACGCCAACTGAAAAGTGTCTAAATTACACAGCGAGAGATCAGTCGATAGAAATAATTCTGATGAGATCAAAGACAAACGTATTTCGGCATGTGATGAATATGAAAAACGCAGTAAGATTGGTTGGATAATTTCAATGATTTTTCTTTCAGTTCTTGAAAACTTCTAGAAATTCAATAAATAAAAATGAGTAAAACGTTGCGAAAGCAAGCGATTTTCAAAAATAGTATTTTCAGACTCCAAGGAAATTAATTTCTTCACTCATCTTTTATTTAAATGAATTTGCAACCACTACAATAGGAAATAAAAACTTTGACTGTAGGCTTAGGCTCTAAAAAAGTTGTCATATACGTGGTACGAACGAAAATAGCACCATAAAAATTTATTATTATGACTTCATTTTTTGGAAAACTAAAATCAATATTGGAGCGAATTTTTTTAAAAAAAATGGATTGTATTACCTTGATTTCCCTAAACGTACATAAAGCTCAACAATTTGCCATATTTTTGCCAGATCATTGCGTCCTACCTCCTCAACCACTTTTCGATTCCACATGCACAACTCTAAGGCATTAGTACCAAGAAGGCTATAAAGAAGGTTGGATGATAACTTTTGCGCTTAACTGCAATATAAAAGCAATGGCCCAGATTTTTTACACAATTTAACCTTTTTGAAAATAGTTAAATAGTTGTTTTCTGAATATTTCATGTTATTAATCAGAAATAGAATTTGTTAATTTTCTGTTATTCAGAAATTCCAAGCAAAAAAATAAAATTTTAAAGATTTGCGAAACTGACCGATATTTGCGAGCAAGTTTCCTACTAACTGACATCAGAACTGATACATCGTAAATAACTACCACTGATAATGGTGTGCAGTCATTCACGTAGTGATGATCTACAATGATTAAAACAGTAATCATCAATTCAGGTTTATGAATATGAGATGCTTTGGGGAGAAAGATATTAAATTAAAATTATCTACAAACACAGTACTGACTAAGATTATATCTTTCTGTAACTTAAGAGCGCCTATGATAAAATTTTATAACACATTACGTGCACTTATGTTACAAGTATAATAAGTAGAACTGTGAATTCTTTAATAACTGAGATGTACAAATATGATAAAAATAGCTTTTAATGAAATGAAATATTTAATGCTCAGCGTAGACACCTTCCTATTTAAAAATCATAAAAGAAAGTCAAGTTTTAACTAAAAGTTCCGTCTCTTTACAATATAGACAATGTTACTTGAAAAATTAAGCTAAAAGAATATACCATCAGCAAGAACATTTGTTCCTGAGTTTCCACGGTGACGATGCAATCGAGCATTTTGATTACTGTTACTACACGTACTGCCCAATACTGCTAACGACTGTAAGAAAGATATAGTTTTAACCAAACCTTAACTGTTGGAACTTTTCAATAGCCTGAGCATAGAAATGAATCTTGTTCAATGGAATATTAATGGTTCAGTTCCCCATACAACAGTGGCAAGGACTGTTGACAGTTAGTGCTAACTTTAATAAATTCATAACATACATTACTTGGGAGCATTCCAACACGTGGGAATGTTCCGTTGTTGGTAAAATCAAATTTTTGATGGAGTACAGCCATATTACAAGGAAAAATTGGGGTCCCAGAAGTTGAATTACATAGAGGTGAAGTACATTTCTCATAAGTAAGAGAGTTTTGCGCACGAATCTGTGAATTTTCTGCAGCTGAAACTTGGAACCAACGCAATTTGGTATTTTGTAAGTTTGAAAACGAAAGATACAAGAAATTTTCTATGAATCAGCTGATGAATCGAACAAATTATACTACTTCACATTAGGATGTGAAATAGGACATCATGCGACCAACGAAGCAATTAAAATTTCAGAAAAATCAATTAAAGAATAACTGCATTTTAATAACAACTCTGAGAACTGCATCAGAACCTAAGCTGAATAATCTTTTAATCTAACATATTTTGACAATAGTTTCAAAAAATATAGATAGAAAACGTACAGTGTTTTAATTCCTGCTTACAATCATCAGGGGAATGTGGTTTTCCGTCAACAACTTGTTCATCACCAAGAAAATTATGTGAACTTTTCTAAAAAGAAAAACAATATTTAAATCTGAAGTGATAAAAATAAAACCTTCAACTAAAAGTTTGAAATCAAAGAACTTTTGATGGGATGCTTTTTATTGTTTGAGAGAGTCGTTCAGCTGAAATCCATAGTGATTCATCTTCTAATGAAGCTTTACTCGATTGTATACGTCGTAAGGCAAATTCGTTTCGTCCAAAAATGACCAAAAATCCTTCAAAAATTTAACATTATCGAAATACATCAGCAATACAATCTTCATTTTGTAAAAGGAAGATAATTAAATGTTGAATGCTTTATAAAATTACACTAAAATCCTACCTGAACCATTAAAACGTGCTCCGCATGTGCGAGGAGATGGTATCCAACGGTCATAGGAAACTGAGAGTGATAATGACGACAATGTACTGATAAATGATTGAACTGATATTGATTTTGTGAAAATAACTCCAAGTTTAAAATTATAAGAAAATATTATTTATTATTCAACAATAATATATCCATTTTAATAATAATCCACGAGACTAATAATATATCTATTTTTCATAAAAATTATAAGAATGTCAACCTTGTAGATATGGTAGCACAAACAGTATGCGAAATGACGCTTTGTTCACGACTTTCAACCAATTCACCTTTATGAAACTGGAAAAAACTTCCAGAACGCTTCGAAATATCAAGAGGCCAATAACTAAATATCTTAAGAAAAGAGGAGATATTTTAAAGTGGAGCAAAGAAAAATGCTTTAGAAGGTTAAGTATACAATACCGTACTTTCATTGATTCCATTATCTCAAACAATTTATGTAAGATGATAAGCAATGCTGATTCGTCTTTTGGAGATAAGCTGATGGCACCTGCTTCTTTCGACAACCTCTAAACGAAAAACTGGTGAATATTTAAAATATCTTAAATCAGACACTATTTCATCATAAATTCATAGAATGGATTTTTTTATCCATGCACTCACTTCATCACTGACAAAACAGCACTCCAGAAAGTAGAGGAAACTTATAAATAACTATGATTCTTCTGGAAAGCGACTGAAAGAGACACAAACAGTAATGCAAAGATACAAGTGCGAAGTAATTTTTACAACACATTGAAAAGGAAATAATTTAATCCTGTTTTTATATATTTCATGATAGAAAATCTTACCTCTAAAATAGTCCCAATTTCACCAACACGTAAATAACCATTTGCACTAATGATTTTAATAATTATGTGTGTTGTTTCTTCCGTTCCGGCTTCCAGCGACAAGACAATTTTCAGTTGGCATTCAGAAGCAGTATCTTTACTGAGCACAATCGAATTGTATTTGTCATCAATCTGAAAAGAAAATTGTTATTCCTAAATTTACTTGAAATTGAATCCAATCAAAGAATGTAAGATATTACCTGTTTAATAATCAAATCCCCTTCAGTTTTATGTTCGAGCGAAATCAGCTCGTTAATCAGAACATCAATTTTTCTCGGTACCATCAAACAAAGCCCGTTCTCAATAATGTCTCCTTCATGTTTTCCGAACAGTCCCTCATTCATACTTTCAATACTGCCTGGAAAATTTTATTGTCAAATAAGATTCGTCAACTGAATTCTCAAAACGACCAATTCTAGAAATTTTTTGAATTCTAGAGATACATAATTACAGAGATAGAAAAACATAATTTTTAGTCAGGTGCAACGCTAATAATTGTTTAAAAAAAGATCCAGGAAATGAAAATTTTACTTTTAGTTACGTTATCTGTTATAACATAGAGATCTGGTTCTAGCTCTCGAATTTCTTCATCAAAAACAAATGCATTCTCATCACTTTCATCACTTCTTAAATTTTTTTCTTCCTTTATTATTGGTTCGCTTTCCTACAAAAAAATCACGTTAATCAAGAGTCATTAAATTTTCTCTTTACTCTGATATTAAGTTTGCATAAACTCGAGATTCAATTACCATAGGGAAGCCATTAAATGAATAGAAAATTTCAATTTACCAAACCAACAAATGTTGGCAAATTGTATTTCCTTAATTTTCCATGTCTTGATGCAGAATATAGACAGCGATAAGCTCCTCCTTGCATATTATACTTCTGCCAACACAAGTCCAACAAAATGTCATTATCACACTGAATAATAAATTTGAAAGTTTCATGTTACAAAATCAACGAGACATTTTCTTTTGCAAAATGAAAATGAAAGAAAAAATCATTAAAAAGTTTGATCACGAAAGCTATCGCTGGAAATAAATAACACTAACTCCAATAACTTGAATGATCTCAAGGTTCTTAGTCTTCCATAAGCTTAACGTACAGTTTTCTTCTAATTGTCCATAAAAAGGAAGAGGTATTGACGCAAATTCGTCGCCATCGCTCTGAAAATTGAAATTATTTGTGAAAAACTTTTGAAAATCATCCGAAAACACAAAAACTTCGCTCAAAACCATATATCAAACTTGAAAACTTCTTCCCACACAAATTAACTTCACGTACCGAAAATTTTATCTTCCAAATTGGAGCTGGTAGCATACCCAATGAATGTCGAGGTTTTGTCAGATCATTGCTGTCCCACATCTATTTCAGTGTATAAAGTTCTACAGTTTCAAGTCAATTATTATTTATCGCTTCAATCATTATTTTTTCACTTATTAAACAAAAGATTCACGTTAAAAGACGATATAAAATGACAAAATAATTACACGAAAATTTAGAAAAAATACTGTAACATATGAAAATAAATTACTTTAACATAACCATCCAAGCCACCAGTTAAAAAACATGCTGTGTTCACAGGATGCCACGTGAGACAACGAATTTTCTGCATATGAGCTGAGACAGCTTGAAAGGGCAGTTTGATACTCTAGAACACATATCTGACTAATATAAACTAATGCAAAGAAAAAAAAATCGTAACTAATTTCATTCTATTCGTGTATATTTTAAAATTCAGGCTTTGCCAAGTAACTTAGCATAAATTCCGCTTTCGCTTCCGACAAATAAAAATCATAAGAAATAGTTCATCCACAATGTTTGAAAATATTTTGAGTCACATCTCATTACACCTTTACATCAATGGCAAGATTTACAGATAACTGATTTCAGAAAAATGAGACAATAATGAAGTTATTTTTCAACGCACTCGCCTATCCCACAATCGTATATCAGTGCCATGAGAACTGCAAAACAAATTAACTGATAAAGGAGACCACTTTGCCTGTTCTGCACCACCTATAACTGGCACTTGCAAGCAAGGATGCCGCAGATCCCGTAAATCCCAGCATTTCAGTGCATCGTCAATTGAACTCGACAGCTGAATAATTATATTTCGAATTTTGCAAACTCAATCTTTCAGCATGAAATGCATGATTTATACAATTTACATTACAATTCATCTAAACATGAATTTATATCATAAAAACGAACATACTATTATATTAGAATCACTTGAGCACCAGTCAACATCTGTTAGACAGTAGGGATGAGCCCGTGTTGAATCCAATATATTCAAACGATCAGAACCCACAACGTAAATATTGAATAACTGACCAGACTGAAAAGACAAATGATCTCTATTATGAATTTTGACCTCATAAATAATTAACTGCCGAAAAATACGAAGCAAGAAGGATTCTAGTTATAAAATTTTCAAAAATGTTGACCACGCAGACGATATAAGCGCCAGAGACGTTATTGAGACGTTGCCAACGAATGATGTGTGCCTCATGCCAGTTTGCACGAATCAAACGTGGAGCTGCCCAGTATTTCTCACTTTCTACAACTGATACTGACCCTGGTCTGCAATCACAATTATAGTTTTAGACAATGAATTCCTCAATGAATAGACAGAGAGATATAGAACAAATGATACTTAATTTTGAAATTCACTCAAAAATCTCTAGTACAAACAATGGTGGAAAACTTACGACCCGAAACATATATATTTTTCGCTGAAATCATTGTCAATAGTAGTTGCCTGTAACGTCAATATTGAACTTTAATTAAATTCGCTGAACAATTAATTAGACAAAAAACTTCCAAAACTCCACACTTGGTCAGTTCTTACTTTTAATTACTGAGGACTTTAACAAGTATGATATAAAATTTAAAATCATTGCTAACATCACAATACTCAAAAACCTTTGCAACGCTATAACTCAACAACGACCACTAAAATAAGCTGAAAAAGCTCTCTTATCTTCTTAATCAAACATGTTTTGTTTGATTTGAATGCTGCTCACTGGAAGTATAGCCTCCACCAAATTTTCAGTATATATGCATTAGAAAACAATCCCAAATACAACATAACTGAACGCTAAAACTAACATTAGACTCCTTGTATGACAACTCACTGACGTAGTAAATGGTATTCATCGAAGCAATATCACTCAAGCCCTCAAAACTTCAGAATTAATAACTGCAAACGTAAACTCTAATACGCCAATATTTTATTTTTAATTCATATGTAGACTTTTTGTATTTAAAGTAAGATATTATAGGACGAATAAAGAGCACGATGTCATGACTTGGCAACCTGACCTACATAAAAATTTATGCAAACAGAAAAACGTCGTAAAAAGAAAATTAAGATTGCGGCACAAATTTAATTTCACTCAACAAATCAATTTCAATAACAAAACAATGAAAAGCAAATCAACAAACTATTAGGACAATTCACGAAGACAACAATTTTTTGATATCGATAAACAAGTTCTGTGAGAAGCTAATAATTGGAGGTAAAATATAATAAACAAGATAGTTATAATCAATCTATTTGATTAAATACACAGATGTGCAAAACTAAAATTTCTGAAGGAAAGGAAGAACAAGTTAAGACTACAAGTCAAATATTAGTGAAGAGATTATTATAAATTACAATTTTGTGCATATGAAAAACCCACAGTGATACTGATAACGTAACATTGACTTCGGATTGCACGCATAAAATGCCAGATTAGATTTGTTTGACCGATCATCACATTCAAACCTAAATTTCGTATAACATAATTCATGTTTCAGAAAGACTTAGCAGCAACTTTGCGTCAGATCAAAGTAAAAACGATTTTCAACTAATTCTGTAAGTTCTCCAAGTGCATCTAACAACAAAAATTTCACTATCATTACCTAAAACCTTTAGCTCTCACATACTCGATGATTGAATCATACGGAAGCTCGATTGAATTTTCTGCTTCGTCATCAGCAAAATGATAAGTGAGTGGCCCAAAATTGATCCAAATTCCATCTTTTTTCAAAATCCTTGAAACACAGCCACTCATTTGAATATTGCTTCATAAAATCATGATAAATATGAGGAAAAGAAAACAAAAACACAACATTTTCAGTCTTTTCAATAATACTTTCTGACATCGTAATATTATAACCTATGAATTGTGTCAATGTAATCCAGTACATTGATCGCTGTATCGATAAAGAAAACTGTAACAATAACATCCCAATGATTTATCTCATCTTTTTTGGCTTCCAGAAAATCACCCGCGCACATCGAAAACTTATTTCGCCTCTAAAAATACAAATGTATTTTCTAAGGAAAAATATATTTACAATAAAATGTCAGAGTGAAACAGAATCTGAAAGTATTATAATTTTCAAGAACATAAAATCTGGCTTTATTAACTCAATTTATAATTTAGTCCTTAAAAATTACGTATCACTAATAAAAAGCTACTAAACGCAGTAAAGTCAGTTTTGTTTAGGCAAAAAAAAATCAGCCAATAAAACTCTACATCATCACCGACTACAGGACACACATCTGGAAAGCGTACAGGCCTCAACTGATCTTCGTATGACCAATTATTGCATGTATCCAATACATATGGATAAATTACATTTTCATTTGCCTAGAAACACATTTCTACACGAATTTAATGAACCATATCAATTAAATAAGAATTAGGGTACAAACTGCAGAGGCACACGCTTCTATTTTCATATGAATACACACCACAATGCGTAACATCTTCTACCAGCGAACTACTGATTAAGCTAAACCTGTATCAGAAGCCTTCTAAAATTGTTCACACACCTTTTTGCACTGATTGAGAATGAAATTTGATGTTAGAAGCATTAAAATTGAAAATTCATTTCCCTGCACAGAGAAACCCTGGGCAACGAGTTCCCAAACTAATCTTCCCAACCCAGCACCCGGCACCAAAACTTCAATCATTGGTCGGACATCTTTATCCGGAAAACGTTCACAGAGAATACGCACCGCATTGCTGTAACAACCATTTCGTTCAGCTTCACCTAAAAAACTTTACTTTTTCCCGCATTTTCTAAAAGGTATCAAAAAAGTTAGAAAGAAAAACTTTATTTTGCTTGAGTTCCAGACAAAGCTTTCAAAACACAATGGCATGAAATCACAAAGTCAGACATGACTATCCAAATGTTAGAATTTTTTTCATATTAGATATTAATCAGACTCATTAAATATTGCATAACAAACTAATTTGTCTTCCTTCTAATTCTAAAAATTAAACAAGCCAATACTTATATACATGCAATCTGCAGTATTGATCTACTTTTTAAAAAATTTCTGTCATGAATCATAAATATCTAGCTTAACTGTCTCGCCGAATCCACTAATTTTGTCAAGCATTACCTTCACTACTCCAATCTCGAACAATTTGTTTCAAGGTACTCTTTACTTTTGACATGTAGTGATCATCCGATGGTCTCAACTGTGTAATTTGAGCAGCACGGCGTAAAGCAAACTCATCTCCAAACATACTCACGCCACACTGCATAATTTCTTTTAATATTCTAAAACAGTAACTTATGCCCATTATAGAAGGAAAAATAAAAAAACAGAGGCATAAAAAATGCCTAAACAATCAATTTTCCAAGTATTAAAGTCAATTAAAAGTTGGTAAGATTTTTGAAATTTACTTCTGATTGTGAACAATGCAATCTTTCATTCTCACAAGATGACTTTGATATAATGGAGAAAGCGAAGCTCTCTGTTCCTCTGACAATTTGCTGAAAATATTTTCTTGAGGTTCTGAAACACAATCTACAAAGTTTCGAAATAATAGAACCCGAGTTCACAAAATCAACAAAACATTTAAAAACAAATCGCCAAATAAGCAGTTCATTCTGAGCTGAACTACGAAATTTTATTTCGGTTTTCCAAATTTGTAATTATTCGCTATCGCATCTATACTCTTCCAACTGCACAAACTAATGAACTTACTGAAATGATGAGATACATGAATGAATTTTGATAATCCCATAGCGTCGATAATACATCATTGCATTTAAGATATTTTCCGTAGCAGTTATTTCATCTTGTTTATGTTTCAGCGCTGATGCATTTTCTTCGTCTACATTATCATGCTTTTTAACATCTGTGCACTTACTCTGAAGTAACAACATGCCACTTATTTTTATATATACATACTCTCATCATTCTCAAAATATAGAAATGTTTTATTTCCTTGATCTACTTTCCTTTAATTCTAGTGAAGCTGGATGAAATGAACATTTAAAAAAAAAGACAAAGAGAGTAGAAACTCAATTATGTCTGGGAATTTCGTATTTACAATTATAACAGATAAGACAGAGGTTAATCTTCTTTTTCATTTTTTGTTGTGGAACCGCATATTGGTCTGGCCCTGTCCTCATCGCTAAGTCAGCTCCCAGCGTAATCATCCCGCCAGGTCCTCAATGGGATTCGATACGTTAGTGAAGTAGCTCAGCACGTTGTTCCTACGTTTTTTTCCTACAATCCAATCTGTTTCTGGTACAATTTCAGACTCAATTTATTTGTGTCCATCTCGGTCCTACTGATTTCAGTACAATGATCGAGCACTTCCCCATATAACAGATATATATACATACATATATATAATGTTCAGCAGGTCAGAGGTTACTACTCTCTATTGTCCTCTTGACTGTCGCGCTAGCCTTGTTCCGGCACTTCCGCTGTTCTGTACTCGTCTCGCACTCAGTTCTGCTGGTTCCGGAACATTGGTCGAGTGCTCCGATGAGTTCCCATGATCTTTACGGAGCTTTCTCTAACAGCCTCACCCGTTTCCCATTTCTTTTCAATTATGATTCCAAACTCGTTTTTTTTCCGTTTATCCTTCATTCATATTTTTCCTAATTTCTGATGCGACCGAGTGCTGGCGGTCCAAGTGAAGCAGTAATATATACATATATTTATAAATATGGAGGTTATCTTTTTTTCCTCTTTACTAATTCAGGTGGTGAATCGTATCCCGACACTCTGCGCGTACTTCTGTATTTGCTCCGCGCCCAAATATGCTGTGCTGATCTCTTCTGCATCATCCTCATGAAATCCACAACAGTCATCGAATGAGATGCTTTGGAGCGTCTTCTTGAGCACTATCGATTGGATATATGCCTCGACATGATCAGATACACTGGTTTCCCTCATGTTCGTCACTATCCCATCCCAAGTCATCACATACGGAATTATGCATCTCATTTTTGACTCGAGTTTATTAGACTGCAGATCATATTTTCGATTTTCCTCGATCTTGACTGCTGTCAACTTGTTTTATATATTTTATATATCCCACAACTGTTCAGAACTGGACTATATAAACTACCATACCTATTCCGAACTGACTATATGAACTACCGTACCTGTTCAGAACCGGACTTCATCACTTTTCCCGTGTCGTCCATGGCTCTCAACTAACCTATAATTTGTCCCTTTGAAAGTTTAAAATTAGTGGTTCAAAGGCTAACTGAGCCAAACGTAAAGAAGTTTAAAATCATCATATCAAAGCAGGTATGCATACTTTTATAAAAAGCACATATTCTCTAGCATTCATCTTCAATCTCTAACACCATTTAATGACTTAAATGTACAAAAAAAAACTTCAATCAGGAAACTGATGCGCAAGGAAAATGCAAAGAGAAGTTCCCCAAACACAATTATGAACTTTTTAATCATAATTTACACATCAAAATAAACATATGCATACCAGACTTCGTTCCTAAACTAAAAATTAGTTTATTTAAAAGCAGCAATATATGCTTCACTTTCATTACAAAAGTAGATTCAAAACAACACGACATGAGGACCATTATGATATATATAACTAATTCAACATTCGATCAATTATGAATACAAAATATAAATATCTCTATTTAGTATCAAAAATACATTTGATCTTGCATCCTGATGATTAACATAAAGTTTCTAGCATGGACATAGTCACAACTAAGCATGTTTTCTAATTACGAGATACGGGTGATTGGAACTAGCTAACTGATTAGGAACTGAAGGATCTCCCTTCCATTTACTATAAATTTTAAACACATCATGTCCCAGAGTTTCTGTATCCCACAGTTGTAAACCACGAGGTAATATAGTAGTAACTCCTCGCTTCCGGCCTGAAAATCAGGAATTAGTCGAGATATAAATTACTGAAAATTAATGAAGTGTGTAATGATTATATATAACAGTGAGATAACCTTTAATGAAATCGCCTCCAACAGCCATTTCTTCAACACACGATAAAACTTGATGTTTACTTTTCCAATCACAACGCCGTTTCCTGGTACGGCAATGCTCATATCTACATTAATCTCTAGATACTAAGAAAAATGAAACTTTTCAATCTGAGCGAAAATTCATGCATGGAAATTTCAGCCCCAAACTTGTAATCAATAAAAGAGGCAAAATAATATCTTGATGAAATGAAATTAATGTATCATAGGAATATTTTGAACCTTAACAGAAACTTACATTCCAATCACAAAGGGATCGCAGATGACATGTGTACGGTGCAATCGAATTTTAATATGTGGATTATTTTCCCTATAAAAACCTCTGTACATTTACTAGCGTCAATTTGCAAATCATACTTTCTAGCTCAATCATCTAAAGATAAATTTTATCCGTCATAAAACTGCAACGATTTGAAACAAGAACTGATATATAAACCAATACAAAAGAGAAAAACACACTATTTAAAGAAAGTGCCTTTTCATTTCTAGAGAATCGACAGAGTAAACACTTGAAGCTACAAAAAAAGCATCTAAAAGCAGATTTATAGTAAAAATATCGTTTTAAATGGTAATACCTAATATGCGGCAAATACTCCTCCACAAATTCCTGCACGCCCTGACTTCGTAAAGTGTTATGCGTCCAACCAATTTCCAGTTCTTTGAAATGCTTCACAAATCGCATTGTATGAGCAGTAAAACCATTCCCAACTCTCATGCCACGTAAAAAAACCGACATTTTAGATTACTTAAAAGACTGCTCAAATCACCACCCCTGCGCCCACATAGAGTAATGAATCGACAATGTTCCTTTATCTCGAGATAATGAACTATAAATAAATAAACGTGAAACGCACCACAAGCAGACAGTCCCATTCAGAAGCATGGTCGCTATTGTTGAGGAATTGCAAACAACGCTAAACATAGAATGGAGCAAAGCTTACATGAAATTACGAATACAAAATCGGAACTGCTTATAATGCCTTCGTTACCAATATCTATATTTGTTCAACAAACTTATATGATGCATGAGCTATAAAATTGTTCACAATCGTATTTCTATTTTAAAAAGATGTTAAAACCAACACAGATAAACTTTGAAACATAGCAATAAATGGTGCTATAATAAACTTTCATATAAAGATTGTTAAAACGACCTCTCACACAGTAAAACATCAGTAGTTCGTGATTGATATAATAATAGTTGACGAGCATAAAACAAGTAAAAATATCCCTCTATGTACTTGCCAAAGGTTTTTAACATGCTAACGTCGTATCTCTTCAAGCAGAGTCTACAACGATAGTTCAGTATCAAAATATATTAAAAATTCAAGGATGCAACAACATAAGACGTAAAATATCATTCAATAAAAACGAAATAAACTGAGAATATGACATCTTTCCAATAAAACGTGAATAAACAGACGAGTAAAACAATAATTTTTGTACTATTTAGAAATGCAATAAATAAAACAGTCTATTCTATCAATAAAACGCTGAACACAGATAAATAAATTAAAACTGCCATCATTCAAATCTGGCATTTTTGTAGCGGACTCTGAGGAACGAGTAAATAAATTAAAAGACTAAAATATATTTTGTACAAAGAATTTATTAACTCAATACATATTATTAATAATCCAGACATAGAACAGGATGAATTCCTATGCCAATAAAATTAGAAATAACACAGAAAGCTAGTAAAAAATACCGTCCATACGTAGTAGTTTAATAAGCTTCTGAACAATCTATCTCACACATAATTTTAGTTCATATGAACAAACTGATACAGGACTAATCACTAGTAACTTCATTATAATTTTCATGAGGCGAATTTTCTTTCCTGTCTCGTAAATTTCGGTATAAAATCATATCATTTGGTATTTCTTCTCCAAGTTCTCTTAATAAAATTGCACGAAATTTCTTGTATACTTCAACTTTGCCATTCATCTATAATTGCATTAAATACACTTCAAAAAATTAATTAAATGAAGATATACGAAATACTCGTCCGAAGTAAAATAGAATGAATGTGTGAAATTTAAGACCTCTTTGTTCTTGTTCAGTGTTCTTTCTAAGCATTCTTTTGTATAAAGCTGGGGATTTTTCCCTTGATCCAAACACTCAAGTAACTCAAGAGGTATTTTTACATCCATGAACTGATTTTTCAAATGATCCAACTCCTAAACATGATTGCTAATCTTACAAAAATGACTGCTGTAATACTTATATAAAATTAACTCATTTCGCTATATAAAGATCCTCTAAAATGTCGAAAAATCTTTATTACATGAAGGCCAGATACAAGAGTATGTATCTTTTGATTCAGTGGCTCTTGACTTCGGGTTGAAAAATCACTTGCGATTACGCCCAACTGTCGTGCATTTTCCTAATATAACAGAAGTTATGAAAGCTGAAGTACGAAAAATTGTTTGATAAAAAATAACTGAATAAAATTAAAACCTGAAAATTTTCTATTGTCTGCTCCAGTTGATTAAATCGGGTTTCAGCTGCTGTTTCATGTAAAACTGCAGCATTTTGTATTGATCCTATTGAGGAACTATCCATTATATTAATTTTAACCTTACACTGCTTGTGAAAGTGTCCGCTATTAATTACCGATACGGACAAATAACCATGACAGTCGTTAATGCGCAAGTAAAATGATTGCACCAAAATTACTACTACGAAGACCATGAGAATTGGCAGTGCAATAGGAAGGCGACTGCAAGGAAGATGATTAATATGAACAATATGCACTTTTAATTCTACAATTTTTATTAAAAAATTCACTAAAAACTAATAAAAAACTGCAGAAAAATGTACACAAGTCACTCATCGGATGATTGAGAATCTCTTAATAAATCGTCTTCAGTATTCAGCACGTCTTTTCGAAGCTCGCTGAGATCGATATCGTAAAGTCTACTATTTTCCAGATTCTAAAACTATTTTCCATTACAATATTTTGATGATGCGCATGTTTTCAAACAATGTAATATTGAAAAAAGTTAAGAATAATACTTTTTCAATACACTGCCGATATGTCTCATGCAACCGACTACAAGGATTTGAAGTTATTGGCACTTCAGAAACGATAAATCTCTCGAAGAAATCAGTAAAGCACTTGTCAAATGCCTGAAGTAAGGTAAAAAGTTAGTAATATATTTGACATATATATTCAATAGTATCAAAAACTGTTGTAATTTGGCAATCCTTGTTCATTTCATGCTGTTGGACATTTTTGAAGCTGAATCTATAAAAAACAAAAATATTACAGTACTAACGATTTATAAGTCTCAATAATGGTGATAGATAATGAAAATAATACCTGCTTTAGTTTGTCACACTCCGGGAATATACTGGGCATGTATCTTTCTGTCATGCCTGTCTCACATTAGTTGTTCCTTTGTAACGCAGTGACCTTTGTCCTTGACCTCACCCACAATCTAAGTCTTCTCTATGGTAAAGCAAACACCAATTCGCCTTCCACCCACCAATTCTTCGTGTGATATCAACCGCCTACTCAACCCATTTTTGATCACTCGAGATGTCAATTAGCAAGTCGAACCACAACCAGTAAATCGAATTTCTTTGCTCTGCCAACATGCACGATGGAGAAATATTTAAGAGTAATATTGGGTTGACATTGCTGGCAAGGGAACTAACTTCTGCTTCGTCGCATCAGCGATTGAGCATAGAAATTAGTTCAATTAATTAACGCAATTAAACTTTTTCTGGCCCTTTTTAACACTTTTGACAAATCGATAACACCCACCAAATTTGTCAATTATTTTTGTTTAATCTTAAACTTGACTACTATAAATCTAATTCTAATTACCAAGATAAAACGTAAATATTATATAAGGTTCTACAAATTTACTTTTCTGGTTTGCTTCCGTCTCTTCTAGTTCTTCAGCTTAGTTACCGATTTTCTTTACATTTGCTCTCGGAAGATAAACATATCTGTTGCAGAGAGTCATGGAATAATCAGTGGTTCAAATCAGGTGATATAAACTCAATGCTTTATCGGAGTTATTTTCGCCACTGTAATCTGTAAGTATCTATCAATTATGAAGACAGCCAGTAAACAAAAAAAGTGGTGGTATAATCACTAGTCTCTAGTCGTCTAAAAATTAGAAACTGTTAACTATTTGGGTGTTTTTCATACCCACAAAAGCTGCTTTTGAAAAACCATTTTTGACCTCATGAAGTGTTTAGTCGGATGTAGCCGATAAATGCTAAAGGATACCGCAAACATCCATTTTTTTGTTGGTCGTTACGAACTTCATTATGCTGATTGCTCCCGGTATATAAGAGCAACAAAAGTCGAATTAGCTTATAATGTTTATTGTAGCATATCAATATGGTCAGCGCGGACTTTTTCTGCCGCTAAGCAAAACACAAACATCCCCGAAGGCCTGCGTGACTTCTTTGACGACCCTGTCAATTATGGGAGGGATGAACTGGATGAAAAATATAAGCCCGGCCGTCCGTGGAGTACCAATGAATTAAGGCTGAAGTCCAATTCTGATCTGCATAAGCTCTGGTAAGGAGTTGATGGATTTTGTCTGACAAGGAAAAGAAGCGCGGAAAAATTGAGATGATATTGTTATGAATGCAATTCTAAGTTTTCTGCTTTTTGTTTCGGCACAAATAGGTTGAGCAATTTTAAAGATTCCACTACTACATGCATGTTTTTTGTTTTTTTAGGTATGTACTATTGAAAGAAAGGAATATGTTGTTGACAATGCAGGAATCTTGCGCCCAGAAAGTACGCCGGATGCCTAACCCTGATAGAATTGAAAAAGTTGCAGAGGTTACTTTGTAATCTAGGAATTTATTCTATGCTAAAATTTTTATTAATTTCGTTGTTAGCATCTTGGTGAACTTTAGTTACGCTAAGAAACGATCAATGTTATCATTCTTAAAGTACTCAGAATAATAATAAATGAACACTGCCATATTGCAGAGTATGCGGAATTTAGAATCAGTGGTGCATGAACGTAATGATGCCTATTTTCGTCTGGAAACAGGAGATGGAGCAGATCCTCCTATGCGTACTATTACTTCTTTTGCTGGCTTTACTTATAAGTATGAACTGAAATACATTTATTATTCATGCACCTTGGATTTGTTTAGAATATCGTTTAATGTTTCGCAAACACTACCTTTTTGAGGTATGTATGAATTTTTATTGGCTCTATGTTTATTAGAAAGCGTGCAAAAGAACATATTACACCTCCGAATGTACACGATGTGAAAGAATATGAAGTTCCTTACCTTGATGAAGATGCATATTTATTGCAAAAGTTATGGGCTGAGAAAGAACATGCCAAACAGCGGGACTTTCTCGATGATGAAGTGAGACGAAAACGGCTTAGTGAAAATCAGGTAAAGCAACAGTAAAATTATGTTTCTGTTTTAAGATTTTTTCAAAGCTCATTTAACAGAATCCTATCGAAATTAATATTCAATATTTTTGATGCCCAATTGCTTAATTTTGCCTATTTAATCGTACTAAGGCGGGAAAATTTGCAGGTGAAACATAAGTGTTCAGCGCGTTCCTACATCAGTGATATTGCTCAACTTGAAGAAGTGAAAAAATTGGTCTCTTAAAGTTGCTCTTAAACATGTATAATACTTCACTATATTAAACAGAACATTCTGCATTGAACAATAAAATATTTACAGTCCGAGTTTATTATGTCACAGCAGTTTTTTTCTAGAATGAGAAGAATTTTGAGGGAGACAACGTTATCAGTAGACAAAATATAGATTTACAAAGGTTCAGTGTGATACTCGTGCTGTTTCCTATTTACGTAACTTCGTCGTGTCATAATCCTTGCCTACCTTCCGTAACTTTGTCGTCACGCAAAGTTACTATGTTATAATGAAATCGTATCTCGAGGCTTTCACGTTGCCCTGGTAACTGCCAGTAAGTTAGAGAAACTAGAATTCACAGTATCAGCTGCCTAAGTGGGAATTATATTCGCTCCATATTCAGTATATTGAGTTTGAATCATGGTAAGTCTCCTTGTTCAAATTAGTAGCTTCTGTCGATAGTATAAGTGTACTTGACATGAATAGCGAGATTCGGATTTTATTTCTATAGTGATTTGGCGAAATCTGCGATATTTTACTTCAGCGAAAATATTTAGCAAAATGTCTACTACATATCTCCCCTTTTTTAATCGTGGAAATCTGAGTAATAGTCCTCAGCATATTCCATTCATTTGAGACTGTGGTGAAGTTATTTTTTACTTCACATCCCACTCCTTGCAGCTTTTATCTAGACTTCGACCATCTCTAAAGAAATCGCAGCAGAATCTGAAACACCGCAAGATTCCACAGCTGGATGAATTTCTCGAAAAACGTGATTATGTGGGCGCTATGTCATTATTACAGGCAAGCCATACATATTAGTACTAAAGTAATTCAAGTAAACCATTTTCGCGAGAAAACAAAGGTACCAAAAAACTTCATTAATGAAAAGTCGTTTTTCTAAATCATGGAATAAGTTTCATTGAAAATTATAAACAAAGCAAACTTGCAGTTTCAATCAAAACAGGAGAATACTGATTTAATGAAAATGTGGAGTGGATACTGTGCCTTTCACGCTGGTGATTACCATAAAGCAATCGAGGTCTGTTAAATTTTGAGTGAAACGTTTTAGGGATTTGTAATATGCAGTACTGTGAATAAACGATAATTCAAAATACATAAACAATTGACCAGTATTGTAAGTCGACCCGAAAATTTTTCTAGATCGCGTCAAACAGTTTCGATAAGCATCAAAAATTTAATCTTCATGATTAATTTTTTGCTTCTTTTGCGCTTTTTTTTGTTTTGAACTTTTTGCAGCATATTCAGGTATATGAAAGTATGTTGACTGAAAAAGATTATCCTGAAGAGGTCAATGTTTACATTGCTTGTTGCTTATTTTATTTTGGCATGTTTACAGAAGCTAAAGAATATGCTGAGAAAGGTACTAAAATTTGTAGCTGTTAAAATACTAAATTATTGTATTTTTTGATTTGTTGTCAGTTCAGACGTTGATGACATAAAATAGAGGAAAATGTGAAATTTATTGGTTTATTCTTGCTAAATATGAAGAACAATGCAGACTTTTTTAACTGATTATGTATTGTACAGCTAAATTTATGAATATGCAATATTTATTTGGGATGTACGGACATATATAGTAAAACACTAACATTAAGTGAATTTATTTATTTTTATTACTTTTTATTGCAATATTATTTTTTCACACATTTTAAGGCGCAAGTCAATGGAGGATTTTATAAATGTCATATTTCAGCGCTAATTCTTTTTCACCATTCGATTTAGGTCCGAAGAGTTCACTTCAGAACCGTTTATTATTTCATACTGAATATCGACTTCAAAATGAAAAACAAGTGATAGTTTATGAAAGTCACCTGTGTGATGTGACTGAGGATCAGTTATCTCTAGCTGCGATGCATTATATGCGCTCTCATTATCAGCAGGCGATTGATATTTATAAAAAAATTTTGACAACTAACAAGTAATTTGTTTTCGTAAGTCAATGTTGTAGATGTTACTGCAGCTATCATTTATAAGTCAGTCGAGATTCATCTATCTCAACAGCTCTTGTTAGAATTGATGGGAATATATTAAAGTGATTGCAATAAGAACTATTATTAAATGTTGATATTTTCAGAAATTTCATTGCAATCAATGTTTATCTTGCATTATGCTACTATAAGCTTGATTATTACGATATTTCACTTGTAAGTGTGGTTAATCAGTAACATAATAAATACTGCATTAAAAATACAAAACCATTATTAGTTTTGGAATTTCTTTGACTTATCACTTACTGCTGACATTTTATTATGTGATTTTTTTTACTTTATCAGGTATAATTCTGCAAGACACGCGAATTACCTTCTTAGCCGTTACTTTGCAGGAGGTTTTGCAGTTATACTTACATGAAAATCCAGACAGTCTATCTGCAATTAATTTAAAGGCTTGTAATCTCTCCAAATTGTACAATGGTAAAGCTGCCGAGAATGAACTTCGAAAGTTACAAAATTTTACAAATTCATGCACTTTGATCAAAGACATCATTTCTCATAATACAGTTTGTTTCATGATTTTCTTTTTTCAAAAGATGTTTCTAGTTTTTAATTCCTAATTTTTAATCTTAACAAAAATGTTCGTTTAGGTAACTTTAATATGAGTAATTGAAAATGAAAAAAATGCTTGATCGAATTTTTGATAATAAGTTTGCTTGTATGAAAGTATTTGTAGTCAAAGATGAGTAAGCTGACTCACATCAACTTTCAAAAAGCACCTTCTTGTTATATTTTTTGTTTAAGGTTGTGTTTCGTGAAGGCGATGCAGCGCTTCAAGTTCTCCCGTTATTAACAAATACTTTGCCTGAAGCAAAACTCAATTTAATAATTTTTTATTTGAAAAAGGGTATATTATAGTTTGTGCGAATTTTATGAAAATGTTAAGTAGCCGAGAAGTGGTTCAAGCAATTATAGAGAAATGTCTGAAACGAAAATTATAACAGTATACAAAATATTTTCTATCAAAAATTAATATCTACTGATTACAATTTCATAATTATTGTTCCTTGCTCAATGTTTCAGGTTTTTCGTTACTATTTAGTTTTTTAGTGAAGAGGATTTTAGTTTATTACAATGCTCTTTTTTTTCATTTTTTTAACGCGACTTAAAAGTTTGTTTGATTAGTTATTTTACAGATGATACGTTTGCAGCGTTTAACCTAATCAAGGATGTGGACCCGAAGGAACCAATAGAATCTCTTTTGAAAGCGATTACCCACTGTATTATTGGATATCAAAAAAAATCAGTAAATATAACAATTTCGCATTAATTCTCATTTGTGCTCTGGTTAACTGTGTCTTTGGTGAGATCCGTTTATCTGGTTGATTCTAAGTTTAATTTCAGAAGGAACACCTGAAACTCGCTGAAAAATATTTTCGAGAGGTCGGCGACTCACCAGCAGAACGAGGTATAGATCGCTTCTGTTCATCGTATTTTCCAGATATTCGTTTTTGAATTTTATACAAAATTTTGTTTTTTTTTCTTGAATTTTGTTTGTTGTATGATTGGAAAATTGAATGTTAACGACGTGTCACTTTGCTTTGTATATGAATAGATACAATTGTGGGTCGGCAGGCTATGGCATCTTCTTATTTCTTGACAAACCAATTTGATGAAGTGCTAGTTTATCTGAATTCGATTAAAGTATGGTTTAAAAACATAACCTTTTTAACATAAAATTGATGAGTAATACTTATTGTCCAATTATAACTGAATATCTAAATACATGAACACAAATATAAATGAATAAATAAATATAAATATATATTCATTATTTTTATTTTTGTTAATTATTAATTTAGGGATAAATATATCCGATAAGCTTTGCAGTTAAAGCGCAAATTTTCAATCTGGGTTAAATAAGTAATTGTGAACAAGGCCAAACTTACTGCTACTTTTTTTGAATCTATTTCAGACCTACTTGTGCAGTGACGATATATTCAATTTCAACAGTGGCCAGGCTTTGCTAGCCGTCGGTGATAGCTCAGAAGCTGAAGCTAGCCTATTACTAGTTGCTAATGAACAACTAAAGAAAATACCCACATATTTCTTGAGCCTAGCCCGAGCCTGTTCGCTTGTTTTTTTAAACTTTGCACTACTAACATTTATGGATTTTACTCTTCCGAGCTGGAAATTGGGGTGTTAACATAATTTTTATTTTCAAGCTTTATAGATATTCGAAATGGTAAAAGTAATATGGCTTGGGAAATATATACTAAACTAATTAAGTCCGATGATGCAGTAAAATTACTACGAATCATTGCGAACGACTGTTATAAAGTATGCCTATACAGTGTTTTAGGAATAAGAATTTTCATTTATGTTCCAGATGCTTAAAGAATTTTAGAAACTTTCATTTTGCTTATTTGATATATTTTCTCATCTGAATATATTTCCAGCTCGATTAGTAGTTTCAAAAGTTTGTTAGTTTGTTTGCCTTTATTTAATTATTTAGATTGGTGATTATTACTACTCAGCTAAATCTTTTGATGCATTGGAACGAGCTGAGCCGAATCCACATTATTGGGAAGGTAAACGGGGAGCAGTTGTTGGTGTTTTCAAAAAAGTCATTGAACAGAAAACATCGGTGTTAGTCATCAATTTGATTCTGTTTATGTGATCAAGTACAAACTTTTCATGGATTGCAGCATGATAAAAAATTTTTTGCCTAATTTCTTAGTAAATTGAGTCATTCACTTATATATTTGATACTTTTTATTTTGAAAGATATTTCTTTGCTTAATTCTAAACTTGTAGACCAGTCATGCGTTATAAAATTATTTTTGTTGAAATTGAAGAAGAATTTAGAAATTTTTAGGAGTCATCTTCATGAAGCGGTAATTTTATTAGAAAAAAGTAGACATCCGCAAGTTGAACATATCACTTCTGTAATTCGACAATATGCTCGAGAAAATAATTGGAATATTTGATCAGATTTCTTCATTGCAATATGTTTTGCTGAGACCTATGTCTGAACCTGTGCAAATTTTGAAGTCTAACCTCTAAAATTAAAATAGTAATTAAAACGTTCAAGAACCGAAATCTTACTGTATGTAAATGAAAGTATAAGTTCAAACACAATGCTTCCATCAGTTAGATATCTCATTGGCTATTTTATACTCTCATATTCTTCAGTCATCTATTATTTCTTTATGAAAACGTAAATCTGAAACTCAAATTAGGTGTTTATAAAATTGAATGTGACTGCAATAATTAACTGTACTCATTTCACCTTGATTGCATCTATATGAATTTGAATAAAACAGTAACAATGTAAACATAACATTCAAATTTAGAAAATACTTTTATAAATTATGCAGTTTCATCCTCAAAATCATTTTTATTTACTTTCGGTAGATTTTTTGTGGTCAATCTTTTTTGCTTTTTTTACTGGTGAAGGCATTTTTACTGACCCTTGTTTATTAAAATCGTGCGAAAAGTTTCCATAATAATTTTACACAGAAGTAAATGGAAGTAAATCACTTTTAACTGTTTGATAGTGAGAGTTCTGAAATTATTTTCTGATCACTTGCAAGAAAGATATTTAATATGCAGTACCGTATCAATGACGAAAAATGTGCGAAAATTTAAAAAATGAGAAGATATCTAGAGAAATTTGAAGTATATGTTGCGCACCAGAAACATTTAGCAAAGAAATAAGTTTTCGTCTATGATATTTGTTTTATTTGCAAAGCTACTAACTACCCTGACCCTTTGAAAAAAAGATCTTCTTCAGAATTTTATCAGATTAAAAATGAGCTCACTGCTTAGTGCAAAAGGAACAAGTACTAAGAGTTCTGTGCAATCTGATAAGAGTTCTTCTTCAACACATTCAAAATCAAGAAAGCATTGGGCATTGTCCGGAACTGATCCAAGCAAACAGTATTCATCTTTTTATTAACTTTTTCGTATATTTTATTTGTTGGTGAAAAACTGAAAACTTCGACTGAGTTGAAATGCTAGTTTTTGCCCAACTGCATGTATTGGAATTGATGAGATAGCAGAGTAATAAGATTCTGAAATTATAATCGGAGATTTTCTAGAATAGAAGAAACTGAATAATTAGTTTGAAGTTCATGATTAATTGCTGGTCATACGATAAAAAACTGTAGTGACCAAATATAGCAGAAATTGGATCACTGCTTGATCTTCATTCCACTGCATTATTTCTTTAAATAACTTCATTAAATGGAGTTTTAATAAATGGAAATGTTGGGATTTATATTAATAGCTAAATTTTGTCCATTTGCTCTTTAAGAGTTTTTGCTAATCGATCAGTGTATTTGAAAAAAATTCGATACTATGGATTTGATATGGATTTCACGTTAGCGAGTGAGTCTGTTTCTTCCAGCATAATCATTAATATAATCCATTGCTTTGATTGTTGTGATAAGTTTCAAATTGAAATTGGTATTGTATAAAAAAAGTAAAAATGAGTGATAGAATATTTTGAAACGGATTGCAAGCATACGCCAAATCGCGCTGGACTTCCTGTTACATTGAACAGTTTTGTATTAATTTTACACTTTGTACAATAATTACTTGAGACAAAAGTTTGCAAGCAGTAATTTTAGTTTACAAGTCACCTGACTATGATATTCTGCTATACAATAACATTATTAACCGATTAGTACTACTTGGTTATCCCGAGGAAATTCGAAATTTCCCCTATGAACACGATTTTGCCATTCGTGGTGAATGCTACAGATTAATTTTGAAAGCTGGAAGATATTTCTCTGATTTCTTACCAGAAATTTTCTTATACATCGATAATTAATTAATTGACTACTGATACCTTGTTTTAATATGAATTTGAAGTCTCAAAGAGAGAAAATCATTTTTTAATATTTGCAATCATTTTAAAATCAAATGTTTTTATTTCTTCAAAATTTCAATACATTGTTAATTGTGAGCATCCAAATTATGCTATATTTAAATGAACCAAATACAGTAAATGACTAAATATTTGCTGAAAAGATTGAAAGCTATCTCAGTTTTTGTCTGTATAAAGCAGAAAAATTGTTTAGTGTAATTTAGGTCTATGGTTTGATCGAACTTATGGCAATTTACTAAAAGTTGATGGATTTGGAAACATTCTTGTTGGTGTACATGGCCATAATTATCTTCAACGGTGTGATCTCAATTTTATCGCGAAAGTATTTTAAAAAAAATTTGATATATTAACATGCAAAGGAACAAATTTTTTCAAAACATAAACTCATTGTTGATATTTACAGATCAGACATTAAAAAACATTATCCAAGTAAATTTATATCACTGCGTCATTTGGAAAAAGTTGTTGTAATGAATTCACTGTTTGACATTGCACACACTTTTGTGCTTATTACACTTATCCATTACTTTGATAATCATAAAAATTATACCAGGTGAAATAGTTTTCGCTACTATTTAAATAAATAGTTTCAAATGTTATCATTTATTTAACAAAACAAAACAGTGTCTCCCTTGTCAAATCATTATTTTTATATAAGCACCCACATAGATAAGTATTTGAAAGATTTATGTGTTGAAAAAGTTTTCTATTGTCTCTTATTTATAATTTATAGAAGATATTTCGAAGACTTTAAGTAAAATACAAGCTCAGTAAGAAAATATTATACTTTATGTTAACTTGAATTGTATTTTATTTATAGAACAAATGATGGGACTGGTGTTCGAAGTGGCGATACCATCATATCCTATAAATCTATTGCAGAAGACGTCTTGAGTGCCGTGAATTACGTTCATAATGATGTATGCTCTAATTATTTTTATAATTCACATTTAACTTTGTTGCCTTTTCAATTTATGGTAGCAAAATGTATCCAGCTCAAGATCTGTTCATTCTAAATTATGCTTCAATTCTTGTTTTGATTTTTTTCTGTAATTTATTTTCCTACTACTAAATCCTAGTACTACTTTTCTTATTACTTTCTATTTTGACTACTAAATCTTGACAAACTCATTTATATTTAATTTGATGATGCATGTGTATTTCTTCCTTAGCTGATTCGTTACATCTTAATTACACTGATGAGCAAGTCTAAATGCAAGCTTTGCCAAGATAAGTAATGCTCAAGTAAGTATACTTATGCTTTAAGAGTTCACTGAAGACAGATGTCTTACAAAACTTGGAGAAATATATAATTAAAGATGATCGGATCAAACCACTTCTACGAGAAATTAACGCTCATGGTGGACGAACATTTCTTTTAACTAACAGCGATTATCACTACACTAATGTTAGTAACATGAAAAAAAGTGCGGAACTTTAAATTTTATTTAAATAATAGAAAAATTGCTCATTACTATGAATAATGTAGGGAATTCTGAGTTATTTGATTGGATCAGATTGGAAAACATACTTCGATGTTTCTATTGTTGATGCAAAAAAACCATTATGGTTTGCAAAAGGTACCGTTTTTCGACAGATTGATACTGCAACAGGAACACCTAAAATTGGAATTCATCAAGGTTTACTTAAAAAAGGAGATGTTTATGCGGGAGGTTTGTTCAACAAATGTTTTCAATCATATTTTTATTCAATAATAATATTAGAACATATGACTGGCGTATTGCATGGAAAGTTCAAAGTAAATTTGGACTAATCTAGCAATCAGCTTATAACAATGACGACATAAAGCGAAAATAAAGGATATATAGGAAAATTAATTATGATTCCATATTATTATTTAATATATCATTATCAGACATTAAGATTACACTAAGCTCATTTCTAGCTGAGCTTTTATAGTTTAATTTGCTTCTTTACGATTCTTTTATCATACTTTTATTGGATACTATGGGTTACTTGTTGTAGTACTATATAATTATTTTGTTTTTCTTTGAAATTCAACAATTTAAAAACTGCTATCATTCATTTCTTCGAGCATTTACTCATTGTATAGGTAATTCTGATGATTTCCGTCGGCTTTTCAATGCTCGTGACAAAGAAGTACTGTACATTGGTGATCATATTTTTGGTGATGTCCTTAAATCCAAAAAAACCAAAGGTAAATATAGTTGCAAGTATTATTTGATAAGTAAAAAACTTTTAAATCCCGGAATTATTACTATGGAATTTGCTATAAAAATTAAGAAAATGATTGTGGTTAATCGTACTTTCTTCAGTCATAAAATTTAACACAAAAATTGTACTGACTACTTTTCCAAGTGAGGCTGCCAAGATAATATGCATGTATTGCGTGAATGTTTACTATTTTAAAGGATGGCGAACGTTTCTTGTTGTGCCCGAGTTAGAAAAAGAAATATCCATTTGGTCGCAAGAGCATGAATTGTTTATAAACATGATGGAATTGACTAAAAAAGTTGAAGAAATGTATAATGAAATAGAAATTATGTCTGTTGAATCCGGCATTCAAGAAGGAAACAATCAAATTCGGGTACAACAAGCCAACTCAATTTGTATAGGACTTTTGCAAGCTTTTCTTCCATCTTTGCTTACACAAACAACTTTTGTATTCCTGTGATTTTCTTAAAATTTCTTTAGCTTTATCATAACAAGCATAAATAAGCCACAAATGTGAAATCAAATACAGTCTTTTATAGGAAAAAACTCAAGAAATGGATAACTGCTACAGCAAAATGGGTTCATTATTTAGAAGTGGACCACGTACCACATTTTTTGCATCTCAGGTCCAGATAGCTAGTTGTTGATTATAAACTTTATAAGCTCTATGTCTGAGCTAAAAATTTGGAAGGATTAAACAGCAATTTTTTTGCCGCTTGAAAAAATTTCGACTGCTAGAACATAAAATTGTTTTTAAACCTTACAGGTCAGATGACTTACAGGTAGGAAGATTCGCCGATCTCTACTCTTCTAGTTGTTATAATTTGCTTCATTATCCACTTTTTTATTTCTTCCGAGCGCAGATGACTCTTATGCCACATGAAATTAACATAGGCAAATGTATTCGCAAGAAATCTGTGTCACCACCAATATGCACAACTAGTACTAATTAAAATCTCTCTTTTTTAACTATATATATACCTTCAATTTATTTGATAATTTTTTTCTAATCTTCAATCAACTACTGTCACCTTGTTCTTCAATTCTCATCACTTACGCTTAAATTGTTTTACTATAATTTTTTTCGTAGATTTTGAAGTACGAATTTTTGTAGTTAAATTATTGCAGAGAAAAGTAAAGATTCACGTACAGGGAGTTGTAGTCAAAAACTGAAGCATCTTCACGAAGATACGGTCGCAACGGAGGACGAAGTTTCAGCAGCAGCCAATAATAGCAGCACACATTCATCATCTGATAATTTTCAATAATATGCTGTACAGATGAAAAGCTAATAAAAGCATGGAATATTCAAATTCTGTAAATTTTTACCAAGTACTGTATTAAGTACCATTTGTAAAGATAAATAAAGTACATTTTGCAAACTACCATTTGTCCTAACTTTTACGTTGACTTCTGACCAAATTTACAGTTGTATTGTCAACGATCATTGAATTAGATTGTTTTATTGATATTTTTCTATCAACATAACCTTTACAAATGCATCAACAACTGTATTTGCAAAGCTTGAGTACTCCCAACTTTTGACTTGAAAACAAAATTAATGGTTGTTAAAAATGACGTAAAATCAATGTTCAGGTTATTTACTAAACATCGGTGAACTAAATCGCTAGTTCGCTTGAAAAAAGAATAATAAAAATGAAAAATTATTCATTCAAGAGGAACAGCCGCTTCAATGTTGCCATGCGTTTGGAACACAACTGTACAATAATTATTTTATTTAATAAATTTTTCAATCATATCAGTCAGTAGTTTATTAGATTACTAAATTTTAAATGATCAGAAAAAAATTTTTAATTAATAAATTTTTTAAAAATTTAAAAAAAAATTCAATATCAGTTCAGTTAGTAATCGGTGCATTACATATCATCATATCACAAGATCAGTAATAATAATATTTGTTAGCACAGTTCAGTTTCCTGAATCTCATGTGAGAAATTTTAAGGGGATAGATTATTAATCATAAGTCGAAATTGGGCTGCTTTTGATTCAGGAAACAAAATATTTTACAAGAGTTAGTCAGTTAGTTCTATGCGGACTGCAGCGACACTAGAAGCCAGCAGATTCTTTTAGCCTAATCCTTTGTACATTTTTTGAAATCCGCCTCGAACAAATCATTGTTCAGACCAGCAAGAGTCTGAAAAATCTTTCAAATGATTTTATTTTACTACAGGGATTGACTGTATCATCGATAATAACTTGCATTTACGGTTTGAAATATATGCAGTTTTTTAAATAAAACTTCTGAGTTATTAACCAAGTGACTGTTTAGTAAAACGTAATGAAAAATGTTTGCCATTAATTTATTTTGATTTGATCATTTATTTTTCTTTTGTTCTGGCTGAAAGAGATATAAAGCTTTGCCTGATACTGCGGATCTTCAGCATCTGCTTTTTTGAAACCGATTGGTGCCTTAATAATCAGTTTCTTTTTAGGCTTAGGTTCATCTTCCTTGCCAAACAGATCCTCGTCATTTAAGCCGGCAAGTGTCTGCATGTTGATAATACTTATGCTTTACAAGAATAAAATGATTATTGCATAGGCTGTTATGTTTTGCCTACTTAAGCACATGTATTGCCAACAATGTGTGTTGTATACGTGTAGTACGTTGAAATGTATGAAAAGTAATAGCATGGCAGAGAGTTCATCCAACCTGATATTGTGGGTCGGTAGCATCCGCTTTCTTTATCGCCTTCGGCGCTCTAATAATCAGTTTCTTTTTCTGAAATTATTGAAGTAGTAATTAAAGTGTAAGTAGTCAATAAAACAATCTAGCATGTAATCAGCTCTTTATTTTATTTAAGCACAAAATACTTTCAGACGTGGTTGTATGTGCTTATAATTCTCAGAGTGGTATTAAGAAGACAAACCGGTTGGGGTTTATCCTCGTTTTCCTGGTCTCCATCCTTTTTTTCCGGTTCACTTTTCTCCTTTTCACTCTTTTCCTTTTCTTCAGGTTCCGTTTGGTTTTTTTCAGGTTCCGTGTGATTTTTTTCCCGTTCACTTTCCCTTTTGTCTACTTCTTTCCCACTTCCCTTTTTTTGCTCTATCTCCTTTTTGAATTCTTTTTCCTCGCTCCTTCCCTCCTTCCTATCACACTCTGCTGCTTTTTCCCCTTTTTTGTCTCCCTTAAAAAGCTCTATACTTTGCTACCAATTTCATTTACTACCTTTGTTAATCTTAATCTTAATATTTTCTCTCATCAGTAATTAGTCCAAGAATGAAACATCATTCCTTGCTAATACAAATTATTTTTATTTGCTACTAATATTATACATTGGTATTGTCATGTGCCGCTTTTGTATCCTGTAGTTGTTGAGCTTGTATCGTAGGCTTCTAAAAATCATTTGATCATATTTCAGTTATAATGAGAAACTTCGGTTTGAATTAAAAAGTTAACTGTCTAAAACTATTGGAAACTTTGACCTCAATAAAAAGTTAACTACCATACTTGAGAGTAAAAGTTTACTATAATGCTAGCAGTAACAAATAATAAGCATTTCTAGATGATGTGCTGTGTTGATGAAGCTTTAGCCCACAATCCAGTCTTCATTACCTCTTTCTTCTTTAGCCAACACATCTGTCTTTCCGTTAGCTTAGTAGATCATAAACCAGGAAATTAAGCCAAAACCCGGCGTCTGCTGTAAATGTGAGAAAAAATGATTTCTTTGCTTTATTCATCTCTTATATATTCCCTTAATTATGCTAATTCACCTCTTATTACTCGTTACTGACAATCTACATATTCAATTTTCTTCTAATAAAAATAATTACTGTCTCTTATTGCCCACATCTTAACCTTCATTTCTTTTTTATGTTCATCAAATGCAAATTTTTTCGAAGAAAAGAAAACATCACTGCCAGAGATGAAACCATAGTGAAGTTGGGGTAACATAGAAATAGCATTATGAAGGCATTTAATTTTTCTCATTATATCAAATCACAAAAAATTGTGTAGAATGAAATGTTTACAATTAGGATTGTTTTTTGTGAGGATTATAACTTTGGTGGTGTGTTCAATACTTACGTTGTGTGCATATTTAGGAAGAGAATAAATCATTTTTATAAATGCTTGATTATTTCTACGATATATATTCCCTCTGTGCGTAGCGTATATGTGCAGTTAACCATTTTCTTTAATCCCCTTCCTGTTTTAATTTTTTTTGCAATGCTTTCTGATTTTTCTATGTAATATTTTATTATTTAGGTAAATATTATCTCATTCAGTACAACTTGTTTTCAGTATAAATAAGGTATTCGGTGCTAGCATTCGTTCAGTATGATGTGTGCTACAGATTTTGATTGTTGTATTCCTCTTTGTAGTGTTTGCACTCGACATCTGAAAGGTTTCGAAAAAGTGGAGCTTATAAGTGAACCAAACTTATGCCCTCTTTGTTTTGGCGTATTAAACGAGGATTATATCGATAAAGTAATGGCTGAGGTAATTTTTTCAAGATTAAATTTTTGTCAACATTACGTTACACCATTTTTTCTTTAACAGGCATAAATTTAAATAGTACTTTAAATTTAGGTGATTATTTATAATTTTTTATCTTATCTCATGTGGAATGTTTCCTCACAATTCGTTGTTCTGAAGGGTTTTAATGATTTGAAATGGGGTTTACTCAACATTGTTCATTACAATGTGTTTGCAGCATACAGAAATATGTTTGTTTAGGTGAAAAGCAAATATGTAGACAGTGGGCATGATGCAGAATCATTTATGCTTGCAATCAATATGCCTGTTACAACTATTCTGCGAGAAGCATTATATGGTTGTGCTTATCATATGGCGTCATCAAATGGCACTCTTTTTGCCGTCCCTTTCAAATTACGCATTATTAGTGCTTACTTGGAACGAATTCGGGATGTTAGTGGACTTAACTGCTACTTCATAGTCTCAGTTAACTCAGACTTATTGTCACAATGCTTTCCGTTTCCTTATATTTTTTTTAATGTTATTCGTGTTACAAAGCGAATTTTCGTCACTGAAATGTTGAATGCTGTTTTTGCTATACAAGCTCATAAGCTTTATTTTATTAATTTTGTTAAGAAACTTTTAGGCAACGGGTTTGACACCATCAGTCAATTCTGATCTAACTCTTACCCTTACATTTACTAATGATGAATTCAATGAAACTGATGTTGATTACTTACGAACCAAATATCCAAATGATTTTCAACTGTCAAGAAAAAGGTTGAAATATACCAGTGCTGAAGATATCGTTCATTCGTTGTTCACTAAAGTACGAATCGCAAATATGCTGCACAATTTGAATCGGGAATACGCATTGTATAGTTTACTGATCATTATGATGAGTAATTTTAATATCAGTGTGTTTCTTACAGGTTCTGAATTTTTCTGAAATTGAACAGTTACAGTTGTTAATGTTAATCTCTTTAGTTAGATCAAAAAAAAAAGAAGTTAACTATGTATTTTATGTCATAAAAATTGCATTTAAGCTAATATCAAGTCTTTTACCGACTTCTTTTATCTCAATCATGGTTTTCATTTTTGATCTATTAAGATTCAAAATGTCAATTACAGGTTCTACAAAATGGCATCGCCTTCAACACAGTGCTCTTTCTCAGTTTCATTTAAACGAAATTCAATTTTTATAGCCGGACGTTACTGCAAATTTTCTAGATTTATATCTCAAAGTCCCTGGTTTGATTCAACCAACGATACATCACAATCATCTAATCCTTCGGTTAGTATCATGATCATGAAGTGAAATTTTTTTTTGTAGATGATGTTACACTCGTAATTGTTTTAAGATCTCGGAGATCATCGGAATTCCATTTATTGAAGAAACCAAATGTGATTCCGTGCGTTTTGTTGCTTTGGGAAGGGAAGATATTGATGTACGAATGCTTGGTAACGGGCGACCATTCGTAATACAAGTAATTATTTTTATTTTTGCGCGTATTATTTAGGCTAGTATTTTAGCAGTAATTCCTTTCAGCTTATAAATCCGAAGAAACTCGTTCCATTTCGAAGCGATCTGATGCAAGCGACTTTAAATAATATAAGAGATAAAATCAATGAAAATCGCGATGTAAGAATTCCCTCCGACTTGAAGCAAATCACGTCCGATCAAGCATCTCTTATAAAGAAAGGACAAGATGGTTAGTGATTACGAAACCTATATAGAAGTCTCAGTCTGATTTGTTTCGCACTTTATAACTTTATTTCAGATAAGCGAAAGATATACACGGGTTATTGTTATAGCGCAAAAGTGATTGATGATTCAGTATTTGAAGAATTGTCTGGCAAGGCACCCATTGAAATAATTCAAAAGACTCCAGTACGAGTGCTGAAACGTCGGCCATTGCTTGAAAGAAAGAGAACTATATTTTCTATGATGGCAATGAAATTGGATGACAATCACTTTATTCTCAAGTAAATGCTAATTCTTTGCTTTTTTTCCTGTAAATTGTAATCTTTATTACAGAGCGATGTGAAATCATAACTGTTATCAAAAAGAAGTTAAAATTTAGTTTTATCGCTTGCATCAATTAATATGTTAAAGATTGAAACTTATTTCTCACTTCTAGTAATTAAGAAATTACATTAAGTAATTTAATTGTATTTTATCTCAGTCATGTTTAAGAATTGTTTCAAAGAAACAGATTTTGATTTGTCAACATTTGCACTTAATTTTTTCAAGCTAGTTCTTAATGTTGAATGTGTAAAATATTTTTCTGGGGTTTTTATTTGTGATGGTTCAAAATATTTCTACTCTTTTTACAATATCTGTCTTTTAATGTTCAGATTGTTAACGCAGGCGGGGACTTACGTCAAAGAATTCGTTCACGGCGATTTTGGCCGAACTCGACCTTCTCTAGCAGATTTACTAGATGTTAAATGTGGTGAGATCGATATACTTGATTTGGATGTCAATAGTGTGGAAATGGATTGGCCACCGAGATCATAATATTTTTCTGCACTATGATCTTGCAAACACTAAGAAAGTGAGTGGAAACTCACTCTTTCTTAGTGAAGAGTGAGTGGAAACTCACTCTTTCTTAGTGTTTTCAAGATGTTTTTGCTGGCTTTTTTTTCATTCATTTCGTTCTGCGACTATTATTGTTTTATCTAACCGCGTTTTTGTCTTTTTTTTTTGATTTGTCATATTTCCAAAAAAGAATATCTATTAAATTCAGAAAAATAAAAAGTTTTTCGAACTTCCATCCAACTGCATTAATTTACATCTTGTTTAGGGAATCTTCAAATGTTAATCAAAATGGGTCAGTAGCTTGGTAAAATGTTGATTATCACTCAAATTGTTTTTTCTGATGTTTGTTTTATTTATAACTTTATCACGATAAATTTGTTTCATGATTGGGATTTCAGTGTAGTAAGCGCTTGTTCGCTAGAAATTTTAAATATAAATTTAACTTGTGTCAGTGATAGAAATTCTGTCAGATTGTTTATATGCATTATAAAAGCGTAAATAAAAGTGGGCTCTCAAAAATTGGAAATAGGTTTCTAAATGGAAATGCGTCTATGCTCTGTTAGTTGTAAACGATTAGGATTCTGACACTGTAAAAACGGTATTGTTAGACTGGACAGATTGTCATTGTCGAGTGGATGTGGTCTGCGGTTGGTAGATTGTTTCAAAACAGCTGACAAGTATGGCTTCGCTGAATGTGCTGATGGTGGCCGAAAAGCCACTGCTTGCCGAATCAATTGCGAAAATTCTTGCTAGTGGAAGAATTGAAAAGAGAAGGGGTAATGTACTTCTAGTTAATTTTGGTTTTACCCAATAGCCTTTTTTTGTCATTGGGGTCGGTTCTATAGTATGAATCTGTAGGGCTGTTTCTTTTTGGTCTTCTATTTTAATTGTTATCAGGTTCGTTTAGTTAAATTTATGTTTTAGGTTGGAATAATGCCTGCTCAATTTCGGAATACCGTGGCAATTTCCAAGGTCAGCCAGCTCGCTTCAAGGTGACTGGACAGTAAAAAGATATTTAGTTTTTTACCATTTTGTTATTGCATTAAAAGTTTTCCTACTTGTCATACAGTAATAGCTCTTTATTAGTAGTGTGATTTGATTCAACGATGATTATAAGAAGCGTTTCAGGTGACGAGTACATGCGGTCATATAATGTCTTTGGATTTTCCATCTAGGCTCAATGACTGGGAGAAAGTAGATCCAATTCAGTTGTTCGCATCACCAACAGAAAAAAAAGAAGCAAATCCAAAATTGCGTATGAATAAGGTCACTATGTTTTAAGGAGAAGTCAATTTCTTCCAAAGTTTTTCTCAGTTACCCGGGAAAGAATGTAAGGATTGCATATGTTCGAAATGTATGAATTTTCTATTAATTTCAAATTGGTTCTTATAAAACTAAATTTACAGTATCTGGCTTTGGAAGCAAAGGGCTGTGATGTCCTCGTCCTGTGGTTAGATTGCGATAAAGAAGGAGAAAACATTTGCTTCGAAGTTAGCATTCATTCTATTACTATTTTAAAGTAACTGGTTGTGATTAGCTTCTTTCAGTGCGTACAATTTCTCTTGATCTCAGAACAAGTTTTATTTTTAAATGTCTCTTAATTTTCTTTCCTACTTTTCTTATATGGAGATAAATTAAATCTTTCACTGATATTTTTCCAGTCTTATTTTCCGATTTTCAAAACTTTGTAGTCAAAACCCCAAAAAAGATTCTGAAAAGAATGTGTCTAGCCTGGTTATTTTGTTTGTTATCATCATTGTTTTAGTGAAGTCATTCTTTTTTTTTCAAATTGTGTATTGGCTGATATATAACTCAGTTTTGGAATTAACAGGTGATTGAAGCAGTCAAAAATTCCATTAGGAGATCAAGAACAGGAAACTTAATGGAAAATATTTATAGGTATATCTCCAAGCATTTTTCGAAAGGTTCTCCAAGTTCTTATTTTTTTAAAACCAAGATTTTTAAAAATTTATTGAAACATTGTGATGCCACATTTAAAATAGCCTCTTACAAGTTATTTAGAGCTCATTTTTCTGCGATAACTCCAAAAGATATTAAATTTGCAATGCGTAATCTTGGACGACCAAATGTTAATGAAAGTTTGTCTGTTGACGCACGTCAAGAGTTAGATCTGAGGATCGGCTGTGCTTTTACTCGTTTTCAAACACGATATTTTCAAGTATTCACTTGATAATGTTCAGTTTGTCCCGTTTTTTATCAATCTTATTATTTCTAACTAAAAGATAGTTCAAAAAATGCCAAAATACAAAATTTTTTGCATAATTTTTGCACCTGCTAAATTTTTGAAACAAAATAACTCGTGTGTTGCATTATATTTAGGCATCATTGAATATTTTCTGGTCAATTCTCTTTTCTGATTATAGGGTAAGTATGGCGATCTGGACAGTACAACCATATCTTTCGGACCTTGTCAGACACCAACATTAGGATTTTGTGTTACCCGTCATGATTTGATTACACAGTTTAAACCAGAACCATTTTGGGTTCTAGAAGTATTATTTTGCAATATTTTCATGAATTACTGGTGAGATCATAAAGTTCCTGGAATCGATTTTTTTTTTTAAATTTCGGCTGGTAAAAGCATTTTAATATGTTACGTATATGTTTAAGGCAATTTTCGAAACCCCAGAAGGCCATGTAATAAAACCAGTTTATGCTCGGGGTCATATATTCGACAAAAGTGTTTGTCAGCTTTTTCTTGATCGGATAAAGGTTGGTTCGTTTCATTTGCTTATTATGCTTTTTTTCTAACACATAAGTCATTTATTATTTTTTTTCAGTTGCAGTAAAAAATATTTTGTTATATCAATTCATTTTTCAGCATTTATCTCAAGCTTATTATTTTTGTCCTTACTTTTAAAATATTCTGCAGAAAGTGAATCAAGGTGTAGTTACTGATGTGAGCAGTTCGCAGTGTCGGAAAGAGCGCCCACATGCTCTTAATACCGTTGATTTGCTGAAGTATGCTAGTAGTGGTTTAGGACTTAGTCCATCGCAGACTATGAGCGCTGCGGAATATCTGTATACCAGAGTAAATTTTTTTCCACTTGTAGTCTATGCTCGTGTGTGGTTTATATGCCATTAACTGATTTCTTCGTTTTCAAGAACATGCTTTGATTAATGTATACTTTTTAACTAAGGATTAATTTTTATTTAGAGTATGTTACTATGTTACAAAATTCAAATTTAAAACAATAAATTTCTCTGTTTTTATTTATTTTCATGCATGGATAGAATCATCTCTACTTTTCTTTTTATTTATTCCCAGTCCTAAATGACTTTTTATTCAAGTCAAAAGAGTTCAAATTTCACAATTGACATTTTAATTTACTTTTAAAGTGCGTTATTTTTCAAGGGTTTTATTAGTTACCCACGAACAGAAACTACAGCTTATCCTTCAAATTTTGATTTTTTTGGTGCTTTGCAACAGCAGAAAAATGATAAACGCTGGGCAGACATAGTAAACAAGGTGACGTGATTTGTAAATTTAGTAAAATACTTCACGAACACTAATGCGCTACTTTATTTTTTGTTTGTCATTCTTTGAAATTATTTGATAAAATTCAGAATTTCCCAATTCTCTGTATTCTCTATCAACTCCGCAACAAAATTGAGCTTACATCATTCTTGATATTTATTTAGGTGTTGCTAGAAGGAATAACAAAACCTATCAAAGGTGAAGATAAAGGCGATCATCCCCCAATATCACCTTTGCGAGGCGATGATGGTTCCCTTACTGGAGGTTGATTTATTTCCTGAAACTTCAAATTCTATTGTATTCTTATGGGATTTCAGCTAAATCAATCTTAAATTCGGTAATTTGCCTCAAAGCCTTATTTGAGTTTGTACTGATGAATTCATTCCATTAAAAATTTTTTTCCTCACATACTTAGATGCTTTGCGAGTATACGAGTATGTTACACAACATTTCATTGCGACATTAATGAGGCCTTGCACATATCGTGTTACCACCGTGAGGTAGGTATAGTGTTAAACTCATTTCTAAACAAATGTACACTTTGCAACTATATTTATTTGTTTCATTCATAAGTTTGATTAATTTTTGATTTTCTTTATTCATAACCAATATTTATTTTATCAAGGATCAGCGTTGCAAATGAAGTATTCACTATAAAAAATAAATTTGTTATCGACTCGGGTTATACGGAAATTTTAACCTGGCAGGAAATCAAAAATGATGCTCAGTCATTTAGAATACGAAAAGGCACGAAGCTTTTTTTGAAGTAAGTTTTTGATTTCGTTTCTCATACTTTAAACTTTACTGATATTAAGGATTTTGTTTAATAAATATATCTATTACTTTCAACAGCGTAGATCATATTCGCTGAAAATGACTTTTCTGTTGTTGCAAAGTCTTTCGTTTTGTATGTTGTTCTGAACCAGATTTGTTATAGTATATTTAATTTTTATTATATTTTTTAAAGCTTTTTTTTTTGAAGGGATATAAGAATGAGCGAACATTCAACAGTTCCACCAGATTATCTTACTGAGTCGGAGTTAATCTCACTGATGGAAAAACATGGCATCGGAACTGATGCTTCGATTCCTGTTCATATTAGTAACATTTGTCAGCGCAATTATGTCACCGTCAGTTTTGTGATCAAATTCTGATAATTATGTACACTTCTAGATCACACTAATTTTCGCATTTTTTCGCATTAGGGTGAGACTATAACTCATAAATGTTTAGGTTGAATCGAGAAGACGTTTGAAACCTACCAAATTAGGTATTGCTCTTATTCATGGTTATCTGAAAATAGATTCAGAATTGATATTACCTACGATGCGTGCTGAAATTGAAAACCATTTAAATTTAATTGCGAAAGGACGTGCTGATTTTTATTCTGTAAGGACTTTCCTTTTTAATTTATGTTGCCTACAATGTGTGCTACAATTGAAAGGCATTTAAATTTGACTTTTCCATAATAACTGTTCAAGTCTTTCAATGTTTGGTTGATCGTTTCTGTTTTTTATCCTCTGAAAAAATTGATTTGTCTTTGTGTTTCTAATTCTTCAGTAAGGATTTAATTTTTTGCTGTCGAATAATTATGATATGCAGGAAGCAGCAAAAAGCATTTCTTAAAATTTTTTCCTTGTGCTTCAGTATTATTACTAATATTTTAGTACTTTTATAGGAATTATTATCAATATTTGAGCTGTTTCTTGTGAAAATTTTAGTTTCTTGAATGTGCCATAATTAGGAGAGAATTAGAGCCAGTTTTTTTATACTTAGTTATCTTGAACTTTATTTCGTAACATGATCATAAAGTAAACTTTGTATAATTTGGCCAATTTATCATATAAAACCTTTCTACATTACATCGTGTCTGTGAAAGAATCAATTATGTAAAATTCTGAACACATTGCAGTCCTCAACATAAGAAGAATAATAAACAGTCTTTTTCAGTTTCAATTTTTATAGATCAGGGATCATGTGCTTGAGATCTATCGTCTCAAATTCATCTATTTTGTTGAAAATATCACTCTTGTGGACTCACTTTTTGAAGGCAATTTTTTTAATTTCTGAGTTATTCAATGTCTTATTAATGTGTTAGAAATCACGTCTCTCGTTGTGCATTTAGCTTCAGGAATATTTACTATTGTAAATTGAATTTAGATTAAAAATTTTATTTTTTCATATTCATTCACATCACTTGCTGCATCTGGTAAACCATTTAGTCGATGTGGGAAATGTCGTCGTTTCATGAAGCTTGTTGCTGCTAAACCACAACGTTTGCATTGTCTTTACTGTCAGGTAATTTGTATGTTTTTTTCGGACATGGTAACAGGTAAAAATAAGAAACTCTAAACCTCATTTCCAAATATTTTAGGAAACTTATTCGTTGCCTTCTGGGAAAGATGGTTTGTTGAGGCTTCATGGTGAAAATAGATGCCCCTTAGATGATTTCGATTTGATTTATTGGCAAGGATCAGGAGGTAGGTTTGGTGAAAGTTTTAGCAATCTGAAAAATTCTCGGACTTTAAATTCATCTAAAATTTGTAATTGTTAATGCTGAAAGAGTGCTTATAGTTTTCTAGTAATTAATATCAGATGAGGAACAATTTGGAGTTGAAGCGGTCATTGAAATTGGCTCAAAATGTCATAATCCTTATGCATTATATAGTTATACTTTTAGGAAAACTATCTACAGCTTATGCGCTTTGTCCTTACTGCTATAACAATCCACCGTTTGAAGGAATGAAAAGAGGTTCAGGGTGTAATGAGTGCACTCATCCTTTATGTCCTCATTCGATGATGTGAGTCGCAAGTGTTATGTATTAGCTTGTAGTGGTCCATTTGTTTTAGATTTGCCGATTAGGTTGCAACATTTCATCTTAATAATTTCTTTTACTTTACTATTGTAGAGCTTGGAATTATGGAGAGCTTTTATATTGTTTGTGAATTTTAGATTTCAACAATTAAAAATTTACGCAAACTAGAAGATATCATTTAGATTTAAATTTCTAGAAATCAGGGAGTGATAAAATGCACACGCAGTTGTTCCGCTGGTCAAGGAGTCATGGTGCTAGACCCACAGTCAATACCGAAGTGGCGCATTTCTTGCAACAAATGCCCTGCCGTTATAACTGTTTTCGAAGGTGCACTGCGTGTTAAAATTTTGACTTCCCAATGCAGAATGTGTGGTGCACAGTTGTTTTTTGCTGAATATAAGGTATGGAGGAAGTATGATGTAATGGCATTTTTGAATGTATTATTTATAGTTCAGCTCTTATTATAATGCTGGATCTTTGAAACTGATAACACTTGATTCAGGTCGTAAATGTGATGTAGGAAATCATAATTAGATTATTCTTTATGCTATCAAGTTATTTCAGATTGGCTCTCCGCTGCCAGACAAGAAGACTACATTTAAGGGTTGCATTTTTTGTGACAAATCGGTGTCGCATTTAATAAATCTCAATCATGCGTATAGTGCAGAGCTACCCCGACAATATCGCATGAGTTTTGTTCGGCAGAAACGAGGTGGTGGTAGTAATAACGCTCGTACAGGTCGTATACGAACAGTGGTAAGGAAATAATGTACTGATTTCGTCCCTTAAGGTAAGAGTGTTCCCTTCTCTCAATATTTAAAAGGTGCTGTCTCGAATCATGCTCTACTGTTATAGTTTTTCATTTTATCTACATTCTCAAGTTTCTAGGTCTAGGTAAGCTGAAAAAGCAGGCTTCGTTTTTAGTGGTTATAATTGTGAATTTCAATTTACTGATTTGATGTTTTTTGTTTAGGCAATTGGAGACGAAGTTGAATTCATTTTAATATCTGTATTTACTTCATTGTTTTTGTAACTTGTTTTTGAAAAGGTTAGGATTTTTCATATGAACTATTTTAAACATGACTTATTGTAAAACGTATAACTCATACGTAATAAAGATTTTTTATTATTAAACGTTTAAAAAACAGGTGAACATTGATTATAGCGTTACTTTGGTTCCTTACATTTTAGATTTAATTCAAAGTTTAGTGTCATATTGAAACAAAACAAACGTAATAAGATAGTTTTTATCATATTGTCTGAGTTTGTTGAAGTCTGATGCTCTTTAGCTTCTTGAAATTATTTTTTGAAATAGAGGAGAGCAAAATAATGTGAAAAGTGTTAAAATTTTTGTGAGCTAGCGATGTTTATACTTTGTTTAACTTCTGATATCATAAAATTCTGTGACTGAAATCGTATGAAGTAGGTACGTGTATTTTAAAGATGATTAATTGTAATGGCAAAGTGTGGATTAGGAAATATTAATTTGAAATTAATAGAACTGGTGGAGTGCACGTGCTTTGTCATCTGTTTATTCAAGTGTTTCTTATTTTGTGTCATGCTAAATATCAACTGCTACCCAGTATGGGATGTGCCCATCCAAGATCTCCATTAAAGATTAGTTATTATTTAGTAAACACCTTCAAGCTTGTTTTTCGTGAGTAGTGAATAAACAAGGCATAATGAGCAAACCAAAGAAACTATATACATATTTTGTGATGGTCTTAGTAAATGTTCTATTTACATTTGATAAAAAAAATGAAAAAGATGGAGGAGAAAGTGAAATCTGGAACGATATTCAAATGAATAAAGGATAGTAAAAAAACGAAGCAAGAACAAACTCATAGTCGTTCCAGAACCAGAAAGACGTCGGTGTGAGATTTACGCGCAAATATAATTCGGAATAAATAAAAGATTATTTTCAAATTATTGATATATTTCTGTGTATAACAATGAAAATACTTAAATAGTTAGATAAGTTGGATTATAGAATTCACTGCCGAGGACAAAGACCTGATGTAAAGTACTTTTGACAACATGAAAGACTGAATATTCAGTCTAATTTTTTGTAAGAAATAGCAATGTAAACTCATCTAGAAGCACTGTAATAGTAAGTTTTAGTTAAAGTTACTATTCACAACGGGCAAGTGATACATAAAAAGAGTGCTAGTCAGTGCTGCTGCAATGTTGACAATTAGAAAGATAGAATAGAAGCAGTAAAAATGAGCTGTGCAAAAGTTATTAACTTTGTATATTTTTAGTAAACTTGTAACTACTGAGAATAAGAAGTTACAAATTATACATATTTTCATTCTTTCCATGTCTTCTTCAGAAACAATCTTAATCAGTAAGTTTCAGAGGGAATATTTGAGAAAATAGTCATTTTTTCTTCATATGTTTTCCGCTTGTACGAAGAATAAGTAATTAATTATTGCAAGACTTTTTAAGAAGTCTACAAATTAACTTATCTACTAAATCAAATATTAAGTTAAGCAGCTAATTGTTAAGATTGAATATTTAATAAAGAGTGAGTAAAATTTGAAGAAATGATCAGAATGAAGTTTCTTGTAACAACATCAATGCATCTGTAGCTTCTTTGACAGCAGAATTAGCAAGCGGAGACTGTAGTCGTCCATGTTCTAACTGTTTTTGTTGTTGAGCTCGTTGCGCCATGTTCATTAACCGTGCTGCGCAAGTTTGCTTAACCTCTTCAAATGCCATCCCGCTGTAATCATTGCTTGGACACCACTCTACATTCATATCCATGTTTCCAGTAGATAAATAACGTCGTGGATTATTGCCTATAACTGATGGTAACCTACTTTCCATCAGATATTGTTGCTGTTGTTGTTGTTGAAATGGTATTATTCCTTTCGTTAAGGCAGTTTTTATCACTGACCGATGTGGTTGCTGATGACAATGATTTTGTTGGTAGTTTGGTATAAAACTTTGTTCCATTCCATTTGATACCACCACTGGAGCAACTAGCAACGGATGTGATGTTTGATGTATATGTTTGCTTAGTGATAAGTTAATAGGTTGTGATAAATCTCGAGGTAATTTTAATGTGTTTTCAGTATTACTGCCAACACTAGGTGGCAGAGGGACGAAAGCAGAACGATGTTCTTCAACAGGAAGTGGTGGCGGTAATGGTACAGATGTAATCTGAAAATTCGTCTACTTGAAAACAAAATGCAAATTAAGTATCAAATGAATGCTGCTCCTAAGTTAGAATTACTTATTACCTTAGCACTTTTGCTCCACTTGATTTTAGCACCTTATGAATCTATCATTACTTATTTTTAAATATTTTTCAATTATTGTTTTATTTTTCATCTAGCAATGTCTAAAACGTGTCTTATGCTTTATACATTCAAAATCTCGATAAAATTTTGGTATGTTTTTTTTTTACTTTTTAGAAAATGCTCTAAAAAGCTAATCAGTGCTGCAAACTACCTGAAAATTTTTGCCAGGTGGTGGGGGTGGATTTGGAGCTAAACTTCGGTAATATTCATCTTTATTCATTGGCTGCCAATATTCAGATCGAGATGAAGAAAAATTCATTGGTGTATTTTGCGTTAATATTGACCTGTGAGTGTTTTCACGAAAAACCTTCGAAGATACCGGAACAACAAATTCCGCCTGCTGAATTTTAATAAACTATTGAATAGTTAATATTGTTTGATGAAAAATGATCCACTTGATATAGTATAAAGATAAAAGGCTACATGAGACAATGCTTTAAGTTCATAAAGAATTTGTTCGACAAAATTTTTCAGAGAAATCAAATACCCGAATAGATCTTTTAAGACCAAGGCGTTTTTTCCATGTATCACGGTATTCTTGTTCCCATTTTCGAGTATGCTGCTGTAGAAGTTCTCGTGTGAGTGGCATTGCTGGTGCTACTGTATCCAACCTACAGTCACTTAATTATACACTTTTCAACAGGTTTTTTCGCTAATTTCTGTAGGAATGGTACGTTTTTTAGTTCTTTCTAAAATTATGAAACCTGCTGGTATCTTCCTGATCTGGGACAGGGAGAGGACTTCTCGAATCTTCAGATGGCCGCAGTTTTGATGATAAAATATTTTCAGGTGGTGAATCAGTGACGGTTGACACTGCAGCAATAGTCCCAATATGTTGTTGACTTTTTAACAGCCGATGCACATTTTCCAGACAGTTTATCTGAATTTACAAGTCTAACTTGACATTGTGAGTTGTGCATGACGCGTTTGTCACGATGAAAACGAAAGATCAAAAGAAGATCAAGATATTACTTGGTTATAAGTTAAAGGTATGGTGCTGCAAGAATTCGATAATGAAAGATCAGTCGGATTAACTGTAGATCGATGATCATCTACAGCTGAGGCCAAATACTGCAATTTAAAGTAATTGCTTAGGAGTTAAACTAAATTAATATTTGTCAGAATACTCTTTTACATTATCAATTTTTCTTTTTTCATGTAAAATTTTTGAATATTTAAAAATTATAAAATACACTTAGTATATCAAATCACCTTATTTGCAGGACTACTCGCATTTATTACAAATGTTTCAACAAGATTATCAATATATGCACCAAGATGAGTGCCAGACAGTTTTAAATCAAGCGAATCTGAGATTTTCTGATGCAAAGCAGGAGTTGAATTGAATTTCTCCTTTATCAACAGTGTCGATTCCTACAAAGTAAAAAATGAATGACATGATAATTATGCAAATCTGATTAATAAGAAATTTAACTAAACGAAATTAAATTTGCATCATAAGCTCTAATTTACTGAACTTGTACAAGACATTTTTTTCAATATTAAAATTTCAACTCGGCACAAAAAGTGTTGGTAGAAATTCAACACAAGTTGTATTAAAAAGTTCAGTTAACTGACCTTATTAAGAATAGCAGTAATTTCAGATTCAATATGACGTACAGTCAATTCATCTAAGGGCGAAATAAGGCGCGGTGTGCGTGGCTCAGCTAAAACATTTGCATTTCCTATAGGTTGCTCATTCAGTGTGTGTCTTCCAATGATACTCTCTACTTTATGACTCCAAGGGTTCCAAAATGCGAACCACTCTGAGTTTGTATGAATTATGCTGCCGTTGAAGGCAATCCATCTCAAACGACATTGCCGTACAATTTCATCTCGTTGAGCGCTTACTATAATGAATCTATTTGTTTAATTTACGGATAGAAGAGAGAGTTATTTACTCAGCAATTTGAAAAGCTAGAATAATAACGAAACTATAGTTTACAGAAATAGCAAGTCGGAAGTAAATTAATGAAAATTACAAGTAGCGTGAATCTGCTTGAATTGAACCATATCGTAAGGATGCAGAAGATACAATATTGACTGGTTGATCACCTCACCAGGTAAATGGCCTATGTAATTAGCTGCTCTGAAAGAATAGAGAAAAATTCCGCATAATTGGAAAACATCTTAGGTCACAACTACAGCTTGTGGCAAAATACAACAGAATTTTCGCAAAGTTAATTTATGATTCTCTCCTATTTCGTGCAAAAAATACCAAGTTCAAATAGTAATAAACCTGATCAAAATAATACTTACGACGAGTCAAGATATGTAAGCGTACAAGAGTTTGAGTGACGAGTAGTGAATACACATGTGTTCAAAATTTTTGATGGACCAAATGCACTTTCCAGTTGTAGTGCGTGGATATGCATTGATATCGGGCCTCCATTACTTGTACGTTTGTATTCACACAACATTTCGATGGCTCCGTTACTGGAAATTCGTTTAATTCTTAAATTCTCCTAGATTAAAAATCCTCTTAAATTGAAAGATTAAATTGGTCTAACTTAAACTGCTCAACGATATAATCAAAATTCCGAGAATATTCAAAATAACTTTACCCTCCGTTTATCTTTTTCAAGTTTAAAAGACTGGCTTATTATAGCCTTTGCATTGTTACACATTAATCATTTCTCTATTAGTGACTGTAATAGTGAGTGATCTTTCATGTAAATGGAATAAGAATGTTTTCAATGATTCAATGAGATGCAATCACTGGTGGTAACAGTAACTATATATATATATATATGTTCGCATCTCCAGATTTTAGGTGAAACATTTTTCTGCAATAACATTTCATGTGCAAAAATTCTATCCACACTTTTAAGCTTTTAAATCCGGTTTTATAAAGAAACTATGACGAAAATGAGTATCAAATTACTCAGCGTTATTTTGTTACATTATTACAACAAGCCATTAAATCGTAAACGACACTAAAAAATTTAATCTCATGTGAAGCTCGATCACTCTTCAAGGAAGGACGTGAAAATGAACTCTTAAAAAAAGTTCATAAATTATATTTCTGAAATCAATTTCTCGTAACTTCAAGATGAGATCGAGTAATAGTGCCTGTCACAAGATAGTATGATTTAAAAGCGATTGAAGACGGTGTCAGGTAATGAGTGGATGATACGTTCTGATGGATCATTTGTGAGGGTGACCCCGTGGGTGACGACTCGTGATCGTCAGATACTGGTAGAACCAGGCGCGCGTTTGTCCTCTCAGTTCTGTCCATTTCACGTTCACTCTTCACCTCTCAATAACACCGACATTTTACTTAGAAATTCAACCAATGTTCGAATTCTATTTCTATCGTCATAATCTTACATTTAAATTATAAAAATTGTATATAAATATATATAAATGTAAATAAATACATGAATATATATATATGGATACATGTGGAGTTACCACCACCTTTCTCAACGTTTTTTACTGATTTTTCTTCTAAACAGTGAGCGTGGATTTTTTGCTATTTCGCTATTTATATTATTTTTGAGTTCCCACCTTTTTTGGTGTCAGAATTGAGTGAAACATAAAAATTAAGCGAGTAAAAGACACAGCAGTATTCAGTTTTCACTTCTGTGCTCTGCACCCATTTATTTATGACTTATTTTAAAAAATCTCAATTCATTCTTGTGACTATATATGCACTGTAGTGATCTTTTCATTAGAGTAGCCACCGTTACATGCAAACAGGCTCTGTTTCAATTTGAAACTGCCAGACATTTTCTTATTTACCGTGTCGAAAATTGCCCATGTTATTTCATATGCTGATGAATATTTTTACTAAGGTAAAAGTATTGTATCACATTTACTTTACTGAAATGGCAAAGTATTAGAACAAATTTTTTAAGCCAAAAATTACACTCTTAATGAAAAACATTATTAAGAAGGAAGGACACACTAATGTGGGCAGGTAAGGAATATGATTACTTCTTACTTTTGATATGTTTAATGAAAGTGTACAAGATAAGAACATTTACCCGATAAAACGCGTGAGTATACGCTTTTTATCAGTAGAATTATTGTATGCTCCAGCGAGCAATGCTTGTCGCCCGAAAGGTGTAATAAAGTCCAGAAAGCACGTATCGCAATTTAAATTCTGTAAATGAACGCAAGTTGCAAAAACGAATCGGTACATATTATTTGATGTTCAGTTTGTTTCTTTTGAATCTAGCAAGTTCAACCTTTCTTCTATTATTATATTCATAACATTTGAATGGACTATTCTTCTGAAAAATTTTTGCTTTTTCAGCTATACAATACTACAGTGAAAGAAAAAGAGCAGTTCTCAATAGATCAGTTGCATTTTTAAGATTAAAAAATCGTTAAATAAAGAAAAGCAGATCATTTTCACAGAAAAAACAAACTTTAAGTTTCAGATGCTAAAAAATACAAAAACCAAAAAACCAACGTAAGCATTGCTCAGTTCTTTCGTGGTTACTTTCTGAAAGTCAACGATTCGACCATCAGGCAAGCTGAGGTCAACGGAAAAAATATGCCGTCGAGCGAAATCTACATTAGGTATCCATGATTCATCACTTGTATGTGTTAAATTTTCGAGTGGTGAGTCAGACCATGAATGAGGGGGACTGAGACTTGGATTGGTGCTTCCCGATACAAACGTAGGCGTTGTTCGAAGCTGAAAATGAATACGATTTGTAAATGAACAAACAAAATTTTATTGTACTTCGAAATCCTTTCAAGACGAACTGCGCAATAATTTCTGGGGATAGAATGATTGATTCGATAGTTTAATAATGATGGAAATGGTCTATGATTTGCAACAAATTAAGTTCAAAAGCACATATTTGAAATGATAGAATGAAACAAAGTTCAAATTTTGAACTATATAACAAGGACAAATGTTGGAAATAGGCCAATAATTTGTTAGGAATGGAATAATTTATAGCACATGGAATGCAGAAAAATGAAATAATTTGTAAATATTTTTTAAATAAGAAAACAAAATAATTTTTATTATTAAGAAATTTTCAAAGTCTTTTTTTTTCAGCAAACTTCTCGTAATCTAGCCAAGGAAGACGTCAAGCAAATATTCCTTTCTAATTTTTTAAAATCAAATATACCATTCATTATTTTTAGTGCCACACTGTATTACAATAAAAAGCATTTTTTGAAAATTAGGATAAAACTTGATATACTTGAATGAAGCAAAAACAAAAAGAGAGTATGGCATGCAAAAAGTAAATTATTAACTTAACTGTTCATTCCAAAAAAATTCGAAATTTAAGTTCCAAAAGATTTTTTTTGTCGCATTTTAAACATTCAATTCATCTGGACAAATATAGACAATTTTAATGATCAGCAAGTCAAAACAAAGATGCTAACCAGTTCAATAGCTTTCTCAAATGCATCGACAGTTCCTAATTTCTTTCCTGGATCTGTTGAGGGTATTCGTTCAACAACAAGACGTTTAATTTGACGAATATAATGCTGTAAAATCAACAGTTCAGTAATCACGGAGATTAATGATGATTGATTTATTGCGAAAAAATTAATAAAAATCAATTTGTTAGAGTTATTCTACCATTCTTCTGCTTCATATGATATGGTGATATTCAAGATTCACAGATTTGTAATTTTAGAATCTTAATATCATATATCTTAATATCTTAATATATGGTAATACGTGAAAAGTTGTGTAGAATTTCAGAATGTAGTAGCTGCAGAACTTGTTGACAGAGACGAAATATTTGATACCCGCCACTAGTAAGTAAATTTTTGAATATCATCACATCATATAAAACAAGCTTCAAGTGATACAATAAATGCAATCATTTTTACTTATCGTCATGAAAATAAACCGAAAGTTAAATGGCAGCAATAAAAAACTGTATCAAAGATTCACTGTAAAATACAAAATGAAATCATGCAAATATTTGTTTTATAATGATTTGAAAAGTAATCATTATAATGGAAAAATTTCTACGTGCATTACAAACTGTCATAAATTTTTATCTCATTTCTGTACTTGCAGATCGTACTGAATTTTTAATTCGTTAATAGTGTAGTACTTCTAGTAATTTAGAAAAGAATGATATAATTATCAATATTGAATTACTGTAGTCTGATGGAAGGTATATGAATTTTACCGCATTTTCTCATTAAAATGAATGGATAGACTTCGCGTACTTATTTGCTTGGGAAAGAAAAGGTTGATAAGAATTCAAAAAAAATTATTACCCTCCACAACAAGCTTAGTAGTGAGCTTGCAAACTTTTAAGTAAGCGTCATAAGCCTGCAGAGAAGTTAGTTTTTTTTCAAAGGCAGAAGAAATGAAAGGAAAAGAGAAGTGTTTTTTTTCCACTGAAATTTTAATTAAGAGAAAAATAGTGTTCAAAAATCATATGATCCACTCAGAGATCAACAAGAGGGGAAAATGACTGTTAAATTCTGTTTAGAGAGTCAAATAGAATGCGATAAATTCAAAAATAATGAAGGACGTCTAGTATGGTACTGACTTTCACTAGATGAATGTTTGGACTGATAAAGTACCAAGTACTGCAGTTTACACTATTTTATCTTATTAATATATAGTTTTCGTAATATTTTTTCATTTAAAAGCTCTGGCTTAGTAGTATTTTCGAACTAAAAAATATAAGTGCATGATTGCATCATTCGGCATATTAACATATATATTATATATGTGAAAAAATAAAATCTTGACCTGAAAGCGTTTTCTTCGGATTGATTTCGTAGACTGCAGGGAAGGCTGATTTGCTGATGCTTGAGCAGGATGATGTTGATGCAGCATAAATGATAGAGCTCAAATTATTTTTTGATTGAATTAATGGTCGAATCAGAATAATTCAAAAGGCTATTGCTCAGACACGAGATATTGCAGGTATATTTAAATTATTGAAAAATTCATCGAAGCCTGTCTCAAATGTTCTTTGGAGTTCGTTAAGAGGCCATTAGCCAACAGTACAAAAAAATTCTGAAACAAAATAAGCTTCTTACTGTTAAACTGCAAAGGTTAAAAGCTCAAAGATTGCTGTAGTAATTTGATTTACTACAGTACAGTACATAGTACAAAACTGCTTACTAAAATAAAAAATAAGAGCAGTCAAAAAAATTGTAGAAAAAATTTTTGGTTGCTAAAAGACAAATAGATATAAAGCATCACTGAAAAGATATGAATAGGTTTGAAATCATAAATCGGATTAGATGTAACTAGAATCTCATTTCTCTTCGGAACAATGTCACAAAAAAGTAAAAAAGCAGAACAAAAACTGCATTGAAAACCGAATCGTTAGCATTACGTGGAAGTAATAAGCAAAGATAAATTGCAATTTTTACTACGAAATTTGAAAAATGTTTTGAGATGGATGTATTTTGGATGATGCAATGCACGAGTTTCAAATCTAAATACCCTGCATATTCAATATTTTCTTTATTCCACAAACAATTGATTAATAGTATTATTACAAACAAAAAGAATGTTAATTCAAAAGTTCTGGAAGATTGCTTTGTATCTTATCTTTCAACGCATGACAGAAAAGAGAATCGGAAATGAAAATAGAACGTATATCCGAGCATTTTAGGAGTATTGCGCAGTGAGTTCCATAAATCCCTTTCGCAAGCAAGAAGCTTCACAATTTTAAGCTAAACACATTTGCAAACTTTTGATTTATTATCTCTGTCGCAATCACTTTTTACTTTCATGTATCAATCATACCATCTTTGCTCACAACCAAAGTGAAAAAAAAGGAACATATTTCAGTTCATTACAGCAGTTTGAAGCAGAATAACTAGAGGTAGTTCAAATGTAACACCAAAAGTCATCAAAAGAAAGCGAACAATTTGCAGACGTATAGACAAACGTATATACACTTTAATTACTTAGCATTCACTTCATAAGTGTAGCCTACAGTTGTAGGACTGTAGCAAGTTTTGGGAAAGGATAAGTCTTAATCTAGTTATTTGGTTGACACGAATAATACGGATGAAAGTGTTGTTGCTATAGCTGGAAATAACTGAAAATGAAGAATGGCTTGTAGTGAAAATAGTTGAAAGGGCATGAAATTATAAGCCACAGAACTAGCAAGTCATACCTAGCACAGAACGGATGTCAGCATAACACAGTAGCATTTGATTAAAGCGAGAGCGTTTTCAGCACTGTCAAAATTATTTTTGCTGATGTGTTTATTATGCAGGTCAAAATTAGTTGCTGAATCATGAGATTAAGGATATGTGGTAGTAAAGTTGCTGATTGCTTATATCAGTTAGTACTTGCAATTATGTATGTGAGCAGACATAAATGTGCGTATGCGTATACTTGGTGTTAGTATAATGACAGTGATCAGATGTAATCTGAAGGAACAGAAAGTAGTGCATATTTGCACGGATCGACTTACTCCTATCTGCTTGGACCTTGCGCTACTGATGTTACGGCAAAGCAGTCGTTGTTAGTAGTCGCTGAAAAAGGACGGTTTTCATTGATGGCGGTAATATAATGCCTGAAATGGTGCCTGTCAGTGGCACCAAACGAACCTAACACGGCGGTTGTCGACCGCAGGTAGATTCCCGTGTGATCAACAGTGAGAGCGTGGGTGGGCAGAGGAAAGACAGGCTGGAAGTGCCAAGCACGAGAAGGCAACTCGCCCCCTTTCCGTTCATTTCACTTCAATTCCAATGTTCTTTCCTCTCTCGTCCGTCCTCTTCCAGGCGTCCTGACCAGCCTGGCACTACCCTACATTACTCTCCGTTCCGCGGTGTCCACCAAGAGTAACTTTACTTCGAGGTACCGATTGAGACCTCTACTCCTCTATGCAGTTGCAAATTTCTTTTCCCAATCTAATGTTCAGCTCATTCATTTCCAGATTTATGCCACAACATTTTAACTTACATCATTATTCTCATGCAACAATAAGGCCAATGCTTGAAAATCTTTAAATTTTCCTATTTTAAATATAAGAAGTTAATTTACGGCGTTTTACACCAAATTGGCAGAGTAAAGTTGCTTTCCTACATGAGGACAGGCAGTTAATAAGTGCTAATGAAGTTGGTTTCCTCTCACCGCCTCACGTCAATATGAAATCAAATTCAAGGAGAAAGTCTTGAGATGCACGAAGAATCACTCATGTATTTCCCATGCTGACAGTGCACATTTACAATTACACGTCATTTAGCCTATGTAAAATGAATGAATGGTCATGTAGACTTTGCTGAGTAGATAAGTCGTTCGTTCAGTATTTGTTGGAAGTGAATAGTTGTAATTTCTCTTATATCAAATTTCTACATTTATATGAGAACTTAAGTGGCCATTATTTTTTTTTTCACTCTTGATACTTTATTTCATGAAAATTCTTATTAATTTTACCATTCATTTTTTGCAATATCTGTAATGAACAGTTCCAATTTTAACCATTTTTAAGTATAATTACTTCCCACATGAATGGTACTTAAGTTCGCTTCCTTCAAATTATTATTATTTTACAAAAAAAAATATAGCCATTTATGTTAATTTGGTATATTCTTTTAATGAAAGCCACATTAATATGATTTGCCTGATATTTTTGAGACGAATACTAAAGATTTTTATTGAAGAAATTATTCAGTGATGTTTCTTCTTCATAATGAATTCTTTTCAAACTGGCTTTCTCTGATTATGATACAAATCTGGCTAGATTAATTCACACTTCAATTCTCTTGTTTAATACTGTCTGCAGACAAACAAATACTAAATACTTCAAGTTAAATTCATCAAATTATCCTGAATTCAGTGATCCTTTATGGGTTTAGAGATTACAACAAAGAATATCCTTATTTTCCTTTAAAAAAAAGTTAGCAAGAAGAGTTCGCCACAAACAGTATGTAATTTCCTTCATACACAGAGTCAAACTCATGACTTCATCAACATTCTTGAAGTCATTAGTAAAGCAGGGTAAAAGAGTTTTTTAAGAAGTAATTGTGTGTAGCAGTAAAATATAAGTAAAAGCAATTAAATTATGTAGCAGTGAACTGGAAAGTAAAGGGAAGAACTAAGGTCGTGGTGACAAGCATGTTTCTCATCATATTGCTGAGTGATGTTAGGGCTTGAATAAGTTATTTGAAATAATGAATTGAATTTGATAATGCGAAAGAATCACTTCTGAGTGTCATTTCATTTACAGTGTCAAACTGTTGAATGCCAGTTACAAGTCGTTCGCTGATATCATACTTCTAATAATAACTTTGTTGATGCTGCGAAATGAATTATGCTTTTCTACAATTTGATTAGTAGTACGAAAAAACAAAATTTATTGTTAGCAGTCGGTCATATTTTGCACCTTTCAATGACCAATGTTATCCGGTACATCCGTTCCAAATAACTATGATACTTATATACGATCACTTAGTTCAATATAAAAGGGCATCATCGTATACATGGGATTTTTCCCTGTTTTTCAGAATAGGCAGTAATCAGAGAATATAACAGAACACCAGTTTTCCGGCAGTACCACGTTGTACCGCTTATTTACATCCACTATGGCTTGAATACAACAATCAGTCACTCATCCATTTCATTTTTTAAACACAGAAAAACTGAAAATAAGCTTTACCAAATCTTCAAGGAAGAAGTTCCTTCCCCACATTAAATAGTAACGAATTGTTCACTTTGTTTCAAATTAAGCCATAAATCCGTTCCATTGATGACTGAATCTGCAAGTGTAATGCCAATACATTCGCTAGTAACTGATTTGAAAATATTTGTAAATTTGGTAAACAATCACATAATAAAGTTTACAAATATGAATAAGAAAAAGAAAGTGAATGAAATTCTTGCAAATTACGAAGCGCATATTGAATGAAATACACACTCATTTTGGTGAAGGTGAAATCAAAATAGCGTAATCAACTCAATGAATGAAATGATGAAAATGCACTCCATTGAAATACTAATTTCGTTTTCATGTTCCCTCGGTAATTTTTTTATTTTAGAGCTTCCTCATATAAGTAGCGACTTGATTCAACATCAAAAACATAATGGTCGATATACTACATATATTACCAGACAGTGTTAAAAATGTACTACAGAGGAAATATTTGCATATAAACGTCCAAAATTCATGAAACCTATGAAACAATAGTGGTAGTGATAATATTACTACTACCAATAAAAATAATAATAAATGGCATTCTCGGCAAAGCTGAGAATAATTATGATAATAATAATAACTGTAATAATAACAATAATAGCCGTTATTTCATTTGAAGTAATACAGATACGGTGATAATAATAACATTATGACTTGTAAGATCTGTCAGCTAAATGACCAATGCCCGAGATTTATACTGAGATCTAGAGAATAAATAAACAAGATTTTCTTGTTGTTAATATTATTGTTATTGTTGCAACTATTGGTGCCATGCAGTGTTTCCCTTCCCTGTTGGTTGCCATCCACGGAGAGCCACCGGACACCACCAGACACGTATATACATATGAGAAGTGAGATTGAAAACCTCCATCATGTACTAACTCCCGTTATTGTTGTTGCTGGCAGTATTAGTAGAAATAGTAATACTTTAATAGATAAAACTAGTTGTAGTAGAGATCATGTAACTCATCAGTAGATTAGTAATTCAGTTTCAAGTCGTCACTGATCAGGAAACTTTTTATTTTATGATGAACAACACCAGCACTTATGATTGTTTCCGATAAAGGTAATGAAAAACTGTAATCTTCTCCCATTCTTGAGCTGTATGTTCACGTTAACAAATACATAAATTACTGTCTAATCACTGAACCTCACAAAATTCTCAATATCTAGTCAAGCAAACGCTACACCGTTTCGAAACTTATTTAATCCCATCGAAATGCTTTATAATTTGAAAGCCCTTGTCGCAATCTCATTTATTTCTCATTTCTATTTGCATCCATGAAATCTTCCCCACCAACTTACAATCATTCAATCAGAACATATGACGCCAGCTTTCCACTCATAATGCATGTTTGAAACTATCCAAAGCGAAAAAGCGCACACATCTCAACTTACATAAAACATATGTCAACCTGTTGACAATAAACTTCTAGAACACGGTCCCACAACTAAAGTACCGGACTCTGTTGCAACAAACTGACTGTATCTAACTTTTTTCGCTTGAAAGTAGTGTCAGAAGTTTAACGAGATGCAATCAAACTCAAAGAAAAAATTATCCAATTTTTAATATAAAATTTTTAAGCTTATTTTACGACAGTTTTATATTTCATCAATGTAAATAGTAGATTCGGCAAACATATAGAACTAATTTTGATTCTGATCAAAATGGCGTGTAGCTGGAAATACTTTCAACATCAATTTATACTGTTCTTCATCATGAGCCACAAAACGTCAATGTGGCAAAATTTTATAAAAAATAGCAAACTTAACAACTACTAGATCTACAGATGACGTTCAAAAAAATGATTGCGAAAGAAAAGTCAACGAACAACATCACTCCCAGAATAATTAATTGATGAATGAAAGTAAGATTCTGTCACATCGTGTTCCCTTTTTGTATACTGGGCGCTGGTCTCAGTTTATCTGGCACCTGAAATAAATGAGTCGTTTGTTTACACCATGAGTTGCATTAAAAAAAAACAATGCAGAAATTTCAGCTAAAATGGAAGATTAAAAGCAAAAAAAGCGAAGCAATTTCATTGGCTCGCAAGAAACCATCAACTATAGAAAAATAAGCGCAAAAGAAAAACCTCTGCTTTTTCTTTTCACAGTTAAATTTAAATGGTAATACAAAATCATGAAATGCATTGTATAGTAAGAAGACATAGATATAACTTATTAAGATAAGGAATGAACGCTTACTTCATCTTCCGCCTGCATTATGGATAACTGTTCCCTATTAAGCCATGTAATCTTTTGTCTGTGTTGTTGTACCATCTCATTAGTGCAAATGTCAATCATTTTGGTTGTAAGCACACCATCCTCAGAAGCATATGCTGCTGCCTGAAAAATTTCTTGCCATGCATGTCTAAATTTTTAATTTTTAATCATGAAAGTTATTGCTTATTTTCCAAAACATTTTTATAAAATTTTCACTGTGAAGGATGTGAGAAAGCGCTCGACCAGTGTACCAGATTCAGCTCGCCAGATGAGTACATACATATAACCCTAGATTATCTTTTTTTTTTTGTTTAAATGCCTTTTAAGTCACCTTATTATGAGTTTCTCTCATACGACTTGAATTGAGAATTAACAAAAGTTACTTAGGTACCTGCCAGCTGATTACAAGCTTTGAAAGTTGACGACCACTCATACCATCAGTTTTTAACGCAACATCTGCACATTTTTTAATCCAGTCAAAATCTGCTAACTTCAATCGGGCTTTTTTCGAACTTGAAATAGCTGGTCTAGCAATGTACTCATCAAAATATTGCAGAATGATGCGTTCACGTTCTGCAGGACCTGTAATTATTTGAACATTTGTAAAGGTAGCAATAAAAAATCTTCCCTCTTCTGTCTGAATCAGTTTTAGAAAGAAAACTGATTCATACCTTTCCCGTATCATGAAAACTTAGCAGCCAACTATTTGCAAAGCCATCACGTGGAAGACAAGACACAATTACACTTTGACATTTTCTTATAAGTTACTAAGCAATAAAAAAATATACACACAAACCTGGCAAATGAAAGTGCACTAATTCATCCAAACGATCGTTTACAGCCCAGTCAAACTGCTCTGGTTGGTTAGAAGCGACTACTAGCATGAACCTTTAAAAGTATAACTGTAAAAACTAGAAAATTTGGAAATTTTTTTAAAATTATAGTGTTTACAAGAAAAATGAAAAGCAATTACAATTTTGAAGCAAAAACTCACTTTCTTGATTGTTCACCAGTTCTAAATAAAAACGCATTCAATGTCGCACGCATATCTTCACTTATTTGCTCAGTCGCTCTTTTACGCAAAAATGCATCAGCTTCATCGATGAAAAGAATTAAGCTGAAAAGAACTACTAGAACAAATGAAAAGAGACAGAAAATTCTAAATGCATAACATATATATAGCAGCGAAAGTGTCAAGTATTTGACAACACAAATAATTACGATCACTCTGATGCCAAGTAAATCTAAATTTGGTCACCAGCATTCAAGAGGGATGACAAATAAACTTTTACCCTTTCCTTGTATGTTGAGCCCAATCAAAGACCTTGTGCATAGCAGAAACTCCATCACGTCCTAAAGGTGCAACATCACCACCGGTCATTATGGCATAGTCCAAACCGGAATGATGGGCTAAACTCTGAAGTAATATTACTTGATAACACAATCTTAATCGCAAAAACTTTATATCAAAAATGCAAACGCTTAATAATTTCGAGAAAAAATTCTTATTGTGTCCCAATTTAATTTAATTCAATGTATTCTTGTTTACATCTTCATTTTCAATCTTTACCTCACAAAATTAGCACATTACTGCAAAATAGAAAGTTAACAATTTTCATGTCGTACTTGAAAAAAATGAGTTTGAAGAGCATACTTTTGCAAAAAGAGTTTTACCAGTGCCTGGTGGGCCATGAAATAATACGTTTCGAAAGAGACCATAATTCTTCTTTGTATTTTTTGTAGTTATCGCGATATCTCGTAAATGCGCTTCTAATTTTGGCTGGAAGCTCGTAATTTTTTTCACAGAACATCAAAATATTAAACAATAGAATATGGAACTTACAAAATAATTTTATAGTTCTCAACTGTGAGTACTTACACTCAAAATAATCCCTTTCAATGGATCAGATGAAGTTCGAAAAACTGTCCGAAATGTATTAATTGGATGTCTCAGAAGTTCCGAGAATGTTACACGTGAAGTTTCTCGTATTAAACTTGGTTTACCCCACCTTGATTCAACTTGTCGGGCCACAACAGCTGTACCTCGTTTAGCACCGTATAATCCAACAGCAAGCGCTGTCAAGCTACCAACCTGAAAAGAAAAAATACGCTGCTACCTTTCAAAAAATGTCGAGAATTTGAAGTACTGCTACAAAGTATTATTACATGAAATTCATGAAGAAAATACATGTTTAAAAAAAGACTGTAGTGATGCATTTCATACCATGACACCTTATAAACAAGGCACACTGTCAACAAATACATAGAGAAAAGCATAAATCAAAGGGTAACTAACAGCTGAAATAATTTTCTTAGGATCGTTGATAAATTCTTCTAACCCGGATCCCAGAACAGCTCCGCTAGTCCTAAAAATGGTCATGAATAATGAGGATGTTAATTTTACGTGCATGCTTTCAATAAACCACTTTACTGTAAAATCCTTATATAAAATCTTAATCCATGAAAGTTCACTTACTACAAATAGATGCAACCGAAATTAGAATATAGATGTTAAATTCAATCGTTTTACTTATATTGGCTCAGTGAAAAAGCTCTACACTCTAGTCCTAAAAATTGAAAAAACTTTGAAAATTTGTGAACAGCTAGCACTGGAACAAAAATTACTAGAAATGAGGAGAATTTCAAAACAATAATTAACGAGACAATAAAGTATTGCTTTCATACACTCCTATCTAACAATGGTTGCGGAACTGACTTTATTCGTTCAATGGTTGTTTTTCTTCGTTCTTCTTCAGCTGCGCGTAGCTGCTCCAAATTAATATCTCGATTTTCACGAGCAGCTTTAGCTCTAGCATGAGTTTCTGCTTCAACTTTTTCCAGATCATATTTGTGTTTCAAGGCTAACTCATGCTCAACAGTTGCTGAAAAACTATTCCACAAATTATATAAAATTTTAGCTGTTTTTAAATTTATATTTGATAAACTGTAAACACATGAAAATACAAATACTTCTTAAGCAATGAACCTGAGTGAGAAACTAGATGGTATACTAATGAGTAATGGTATTGTTTTTAAAAGGACATATTGCTTTTACTAGATTTTTAAACGTTCAATAGTCGCTGAAGAAAATTGATTACAGAATATCTACAGTTACTTTTGTATCACGATCAAAAGTGGATCCAATATTACCTCGTCTCATGGCTTCTTGCTTTTTAACGCTTTCTTCTTGCTTTTTCAAGCTTTCGGCTTGCATGCGCGCTTTTACCGCCAATTCTTCTTCTTGTCGTTTACGAGCTAATTTATCTTGATATTCAGCTCTCTAAAAATTCAGTTCGTTCAAAATGTAATTCTATTACATTTTTGCAATTTTCAGAATAATAAAAGCCACGATTTTATCAAGAAATAACTTTTTAAACACTTACAGCATGTGCATGTTTGGTTTCCTCAACTAGAGTTTTACGCCTTTCTTCTTCCGCAACACGTATTTGCTCACTACGAAGTGCTTGCATTTGAGCTTCCGACTGCTACAACAAACTCAAAGGAGTAAACCATTTCCAAAATTAAAATAAAATTTAGAGTTCAAATTTTGAAATAAGGAAGATTTGGTAAGATAATACTAGAAATAATTGGTTACTTACAGCTGACTGAGAAACAAGTTTAATCCTTTATTTTCAAAGTTAAAGCAAAAAATCTTATTTCAGTTCGACAGTTCACAAGTTTTTATACCTTGTAAGCAGCCTCAAATTCCTTCTGCTTCGTAATTTCTTGCAATCGTGCTATTTCGAATGCCTCCTTAGCATTTCGAGACATTTCCAACTGTCTAGCTGCATCTGCTGCACGTTCCAGAGCTGATGAATCAAAAGAATATCCTTTTTGCATTCGCGCTTTGGTATTATTCTCTTTTGGTATATTACTTGGACCTGGAATTTAAAACTTCAGTAATCAGAAAACGGAGCTGCAAGTAACAATGTAAGCTGACTGCTGATTACTCACAAAAAATGAAATAAATTATCTAAACTTTAAAGAGCTGAAAAAATATCACCAATAACCTGACCAACACTTTTAAAATTGTTATTGCTGAATTTCTGATTACAGAAATTTAACAGTGATTGAATTTCAAAACTAGTGAAATTTCAACGAGAAACAACTACATCCGAAAATTAGTGGTAAACTTAATAAAGTAACGTATACAACGCGCGCCAATATTTACAACCATGATATCTATATGTAAGTTTAATGAACTGTTATTCTTACCAGGAGTTGAATCACTAGGCACTGGTGTCGCAAGTGTTGAAGGTACCGCCTGCGAGCCCAAACCAATCACATCAAAAAAGCTTGGCATCTTACGAAGCTGAAAATTAGAAATAAATTTAAACCCTTATTCTGTAATGGACTGACAAGCGAAATGGTGTTTTCACGAACGTGGTAGCCTCCCGAACTTCAAATATGTCCCACATTCACGTTCTCAAACTTCAGTAATGGTTAAACCACTCGACAGATAATGGTAAACTGCAACTATGCTCATGGGATTCTCAAACCAGTACAGTCCATCGGAATATCAGGAAGATGAGTTACGGAAACAGATGAAACACTTAAACTAATAATGCGAATCATGTCCATAAAAATAACGACTGTATTCGAAACAAAACGGAGTGACTATTGTGTTCCAATTTTATTTACAAATACTTGCAAATATGTGAGAAACTATTTTATGACCACATCACAACATCCAAAAAATATCCTACTTCTGAAGTGCTCCGTAAAACAAACACACAAAACATATATACAAAGTTAATCCAAACAATAATTTACAGTCGGAATATGCAGTTATTCTTCTTCATAGCCGTTAGAGATTTTGAGTTTATTTCAACTTAAAATCTTACAATTTTACTCGTTCAAAAAACACACAAGTGTGAAATTTTTATGTCCAGAACATGAAAATTCATTACTACATTTTCAATTTTGCGCAACATTATTTTGAATCACAGCTAACAAAAAATCCTTGTCCGGTGCAATCATTATTTCGTGTTTTTTGGTTCGTAGTCTCAAGAATACAAGGTCGTTCGAGCCGTCCAGTTCTTGAATGATACTTTTTGTTTTATCAGACAACTGGTAAAGTAGTGAGGAATGCCGTTCCGTTGCTTCATCATCCAAGGTTGATCTAATCAACCGACCTGTAATAAAGTATTTGGAAAAAGAACGACGAAATATTTACGATCAAAACTTCAAATACAACAATCCTGAATAGAAATAAATATGAAAGAGAAATTATATATACCTAAAGAATCCATGATAATAACCCCCGCAACATTCTTCTGATTCTGGATTCTTTTCAAAGTTTCATCTACATCAACCATCGCTTCACCAGCTAAAATTACCCCCAATTAAAAACAAGTGATTAAAATAAATGAGCAACCGATTGTATCTTGAAGCATCTTATTGATTTGTCACAAGTCTGTAGTCTTTTGGCAATACAAAAGAAAGAAACACTTCCATTCCCATAAAATTACCATCATCATTCCGACGACAAGTAAACATGATAACCTTCTAGCAGTAGGAACTAAAATAAACTTCAGTACTCAACGTTAAATAATAAAAATTTCTGATGAGAATTTGCATTCTTCACTTTTTTCCTACTTTCTTAATGCTCAGAAAGCATCTACTACTTTTGTCTTCCATTTCGAAGACATCAGACCTGACATTCGGCTGCAAATCTCTCCCTCACCACAAGTACTGCAGTAGTTCTAAAGACTGGTATATATTCCATTCAACATGTCCAAATTCGCACTATTGCATGTTTTTTTCATGCAACACACATTGAAATAAAAGGCAAAAATGAATTCCTAGTGATGATATCAGTGAAAAATTGTTTCCATCCATACTTTTAATTTGTATACATCAAGTAACACATTATTATTACTTACTGACTTATTTGAAATTTTTTTTGTTAATCGAGATAGATTCTGAGGGATCAGACAGCGTATGAGAGGTAATTTAATGAACAGCATATTTATTGGGAAGAAGTACTTGTCTTAGACATGTCATATACTCAAGAAAAAAGATATTCGTATCCAAAGATATTCGTTCAAGTATACCAGCTATGCACAGTTAAAACGCGAAATTATTCTAACAATATTAGTTGCCGTTTCCTGGTAATTATCCAGTAATACTGAAACTAAAGATGTAAGACACATTTCATCACACACTGATATTGGAAGACAGAAACATTTACTATTTATGTAGACTACTGCAAAAACGATCAAAAGAATATACAGGAATAATAATGGAGATTAATTACGGATAGATTGATTGGCTGCAAGATACTAAAGACTTTTTTCGTTAAATGGTATTAGGAAAGGGAAAAAAGAAGTATTTGGTAGCAGAACAGAGCGAGGAAGATGTCCTGTTGGAAATGTGAATGTGCTAGAGACGACGAAAAAAATATTTCTGAAATAAATTAGCATTTCTAAGAACTAAGAAAACTGGAAGAGAATGGGTATGACTATAGAACATCTAAATGAAAGAGTAATAGTAGGAAATTTAGTATGGAAATGAAAGAGTTGCTGTGGGATGGAGTCTCAAGTTGAACAATTTCTGCTTGTAATGTAGTCCAGATTGGATGAACCCTGGCAATTGGAAAAAAAGTGCTGTGAGAGATATTTAATAGTGCTGACTGGTGCGAAACCTCTCATAAATCGAATAATATGAGCTTTTGCAGTAGTTACTTGACGCATATCCTTCCCAGCATCACTTATTCTGAGTGCAAGTTTGACAAAATGGAGAACATGGGTTAAATGTGGATGAGAGCAAACAGACTAATTTGTTATATGCTAAATATTTGTATGCAAACGTGCTGTCAAAAGCACAACACCAAAACAGGCCTTCAATTGAAAGTAATGGAAATTGCTCTTTTGAAGTAACGTCTATTTGGAAATACAATTACTACTTTGCTCAAAGTCAGCATTTACAGCACTCAAGAATACTGTACATGCTCACTTTAAGCAAAGTAGTAATTGTCCATATATGATATTAAAATTATTATTAATATTATTTAATCTTCAGTTTGTTCTCATCAGTGATTGATAATTTTTAATATACAAGGTGTTACAGCCCGTACACATAATATTTTATTCCAAGTTTCACTGCTTCAATTAGCAAAGAAATAAGTGATACAACTAAATTAATCAAGGGACTACAAAGAAGGAAGACGAAAAAGGAACAAGATGGTAGGTGCGGTGTTGTTTAGATGTTGAATTATAGATTGCTTCATTCTTCAAAAAAAAAGTAAGCAATGAAGAGAATCGGAGATAATTGATGGGGCTGTGTTGGATATAATCAGTTTGTTGAAGCAAGTCTAGCCTTCTTCGCAACCAATTAGCTCGCTTTGCTATGTAGAACAGTTTGTGTAGTCTCCGATGATCGTCTGCCTTGAGACGTTTAGACAACAAATCCATTCTTGTGGTGCTTCTCATTTCCTTTCGTAAAACTAGTTCGCTCGCTCTTACTTGCTTTTCGCTTTTCATAAAAATATGTACTAAATCAGTCATTTGTCCGGTCGTTCTTTTCTTTTTAATGCTTTATTTCCAAAATGCTCTCAGCTTACATTTCCAGTAATATACAATTTATCACTGTGTGATCAACACATAATTGTTTTTTAGACTCAAGATGGCGGTAATGTGAGTGCTTACAACTGCAGTTAACTGCTATTTGCTTGTACTGCAGTCAATATAATACTGACATTTGGCTACAAGCTGCATTCATTTCACTACCTCAGAACTTTTTCGTCTCGAAAAATCACTAGAAATGTACTATTTATGAGTAATGCAAATTTTTATGGAAAAACAAACAAACACTAATGACCTTGATTGATGATAGAGCAAGAGGGAAAAACATGTATCTGCCACGACCTTTAATATTTTTCAAATTGCTAGATCCAGAGCAAACTGCACTAGTATATTTTATTACCCTGGAATTGAGACATTGTTCACAAGCACACTACTACTTTAGTTTGCAACGGTGACACAATGGTGTAGATAGATATGAGCAGATTGTTCAAGGTTGATAAATGTAGCACACAAAAGTTTACAAATAATTAATGTGATGTAATTGCTTGTCAAATACTCCGCGCATTAGCCAACTATGCAGGATTAGAGTACATGTTATATAACTGCATAGCAGATATCAAATGCACGATGAGCAAAGCATGTGTTTCAGTAGTCACCATCAATCGTGTAAAAATTGCTCCTTCCGCTATAGAGATGAGCAAATTAGAGAAGCGCTCAATATTAATGAAATAAAACGACATCTGCGCTCTTTTCTTGCTCTCTGAAGTAATTCCACTGTTCACCGCAATAAACATAACATAGCTATTGCTCTTGGAGGTGTGTCAGTCCATAGCGAAGGGCTGTTGTTTATTATTGATGCGGTTGCTATGTTATACATACATACATACATACATACATACATACATCGACATACACCAATGCAAACTTGATATATCGCTCCTCCTCAACTACATATTTGAGAGTGAAGCTAATCAATAGTGCATTTCGCACTCATTTTGTTCAGCGCTTAAAAACTGGTTGGTAATGTTTTGCGTGATGGCGTGTAATGAATGGCATACCCTTTCCGTTCCACTTTCAATTCATTCTTGTCCACACTTTGCATACTGCCCACTCCATATCATTGCTAAATATACACAAGTCTACAATGTTCATTAATGTTATTTAATTTTATCCTTTCATATATCTGTTATTTTTACATCAACCAGTCAATCTATGCTCGGGTTGTTCAGTAAGATGTCATTATTGTGCTTGCATTATCTGTTATCATTACTACTTATGATGCAATTGTGATCGGTTACTGAAATCATGTTCTGTAATTGATCTTTGTGATCATCTTGCATTTGTATCCATTTGTACTTAGTTTTACTTGTAACTGTCACTCTTGATGGTAGTCTTCAGTCATGAGTAGGAAAAGTAGCGGTTTATATGATGAGAAATCAATGCTAAGTGCAGAGATGCTATGAAGATACAGAAACTTTGCATTTCATTAATTCATCTCCGAATGGTTTTATTTCTTTTTTTTCGTGATTGCTATCGCATCTCAACTAAATATATTTAGCATATAGCAGAGGCTTGGTTCAGTGTTTTCCATTTTTGCTTACACTCAAGCAATACAGACTATTTTCTTTTCCTTTTTCATTTAGTTTTCGTGGTCTTTATAGAGTCTAGCTGGCCTTCTCTGTTTTCATTTGTGTGAAATATGAGCAATATCATTAAACTCTGGAAGCTATCTCATTGGTTTTACCCTTTTTTTATTACTGGAAATCAATGCAAAGAAATCGTGTCTCTTAAAGTTTCTTAATTTTGAGGAATTTGACTGGCAGAAAATTGTATTACGAAGGTGTATGTTTTCCTTCTGGTGCTGTTTGTTGTGTTGGGAGTTTGGTTTCCATTATAGAAGCTAGTTGCTGCATGTGCAGCTAATGCATTTGCTATTTCCATTCAAAACATGTATTTGGTTGTTAATGAAGTAACATGTGGTGATCGTTAGAATGATAGGTATAAGTCAGAGACAAGCAAGCAACAACATTTGCAGCATGTGACTGAAATGTGTTTGTCCCATTTTATAATGGAAAAAAACTTCCGAAATTGTTTTCAATTGTTTGTCGTGTGACACTAGACGGGTCTTGATAATCATTCTGTCTGCACACGGAACACTTTCTTTGATACTCATTCCATGCAAGTCGTGAAACTACTTTGGTAAAGCTTTAATACTTTTATTTTCTTATTCGAAAATATTTCCTTTAACTGATATCTAAATGTGAGGATTGTCTAAGATGTTTAGGAAATATTCAACGAATGAATGAACCAAGCACTCTTATAAAAACTTGCGTAATTCCGAATCTGTATAGGAAGTAAATGAACAAATTGAAGTAGCTTTATGCCATTTTGTTCTAGAATGTATTGGAACACTTTTTTGGTCGTTGATGTTGCTTCAATACCTTGATATAATTAATGTGTTGCTTCAATACCTTGATATATGTTGCTTCAATACCTTGATATAATTAATGATTGAATTGTTTTTAGTCTGTTCTGCAGAATTGGCTAGGATCATCATGTTATTGCGTATGTAATTAATAATAGGAATGAACTAGCATATTACATTATTTCATTACGAAAAACTGAGCTGCACATGTGAGTTGGTACAAACGAATGAACTTTTGATGGTTTTCTAAAATTACTAACACATATTCCAAATAATGCAAAACTATAGGTTCAGCCAAAATCACCCAAACAATCTTAGTTGGCAGACATATTGAAAAGAGTGGGACTAATCATTGATCAGTAACGTGTAATTAAATGTCGTGCTGAGTTTCTGCAACAAGTGAAGAATTAAAAATATTAATGGAGAAATTTTTGTTATTATCGAAAACAACTGAAATTTAACTTCTCCTTCTTCTCTCTTACCGCCAATGATTTGTTAGTCACTGTGAACTTCTCTAGTCAATCCTTCTACCCAAGTTGTTTTCAATGATAACAACAACAGCTCCATTATTTGATGCAAATCCATAACTTCAATACGCATTAAATGCATTGTAATGCATTCCATCTGCAGAAAAAGAGTATATCTTATATTCTGCAGGAGAGTGTAATGTTATTTTTAAAATAAACGATATAATTTGTCTGTGAGTGAGAAATAAAAGAATGGGCCTTTTGAGTTTTGACTGATTTCTGCAATCAGATCAGTCTCACTTATGCATTCACTATGTTAACTTTAAACAGCACGCGTCGTTCTCTTCCTTCAACTCATTCAATTTAGAATTTTTTATCCTCTTCTCGTCTTTATTCATTTCACTGTCGCTATTACTGCTGTTATGTTGTGCACTGCCATTAGTGTTCGTAATTCGTTATCGCTTCCCGAACGCTGTGAATACCTTTCAATTTTTTCAGCTCTGTCATTGACGTCAACTCGCAATCAATTCAAAAGATGGCAAATGAATACGAAGGAAGTTATGTAAGAATCAGTTTGTATTAGCAAACGTTTCAAATTTTTTTACCTTTGCCCAAATCATTGCCTCTACCATTGTTGTGTTATCGACATATTTTGAGAATTAGAACGAAATTCGCGCACGTCTCAGTTTATACCTTACTGTTTTGATATTTACTGCTTCTAAAATTCAAAGCCCAAATAGCTTTGCTTGTTAAATTTAACGGTTAACTAAGAGTAATTATTCGTTTAGTGTAGGATAATAGTCTTGTAGTTATGGCAACCTCGATTCTGTTTCTGATATTTTATGTAGGTGATTATTTTTCTAAATTACTCAGATTATCCCCAATGATATGAGCTCTGAATATGCTCACTGTGCTCAAAAGGTATACAAAATGAATGAATATCAAGCACATAATAAAAACTTGATTTTAACCAGTATTTGTTTTGATTGCTCTCGAAATCAGCACTACAATTTCAAAATTTAGATAGAGCAAGAATCTCAATTATAGTAAGGAAATTTTATACTGAAAGTTAATAACGAGTAAAGATGTGAACATTTTTTTCTCGTCGTATTCTTTCAAAAGAAATATTTCCTTTCATAATGTAGGAGATTGAAAGTTTACTAATCTGCTGCTTACAGTGTTATCAAAGTTATTAAAGAGCTCTCACATCCCACTTTTCCGTTTTCAATCTTTTTTAACTCTTTACCTTACCATAAAAGTATCTATAATAATTAAAAGTGGAAACATTTGTAACTTTTCATTTTTCAGCCCGTGCCATACCGAAGCAAGTTAACGGAACCATTTGAACCTGGACAAACACTCGTGGTGAAGGGTAAAACAGCTGAAGATTCCGTTAGGTAACACTTCTTCAAATAACAGAATTATTTAGAACATCAGATTCTTCGTCGTTACCACTTTTTCAAATGCAACAACAGAGATGTTCTGAGAGAGAAATAATCACACTAAAATTGTTTACACCGATTTCATTTGGTAAAAATCTGAAATTAATTTTAATCATAATCTTGTGTTTTTTAACAAACTAAATACCGTCCAACTTCATCTTTTCTGACTTGCTTAATTTGTAGCTTACATGAAACAACCACTTATACTTTTAAATCATCTACCTCACAAGAAATCAGAAGTACTTAGTGCATTTATCAATTTCTCTGACTGTAAAGTAAAACCTTCCTTCCTAAATTTTTTCACCAAAATTTGCTTGCGATACTTTTGATATGCATATTATGAAAATTGAAAGTATTATTTATTCGCTGTCTTCTAGATTCACTATAAATCTGCACAATACAGCGGCGGATTTCAGTGGTAACGATGTACCCCTGCATATTTCAGTACGATTTGATGAAGGAAAGGTTTGTCAGAGTTATTTAGTCATTGACTTTTAAAAATAGGGGCAACGAAGTAGAGAGAGATGCGTTTTGTTCTGACTACTCCAAATTTTACTTCGATTTCTTTATTTTTGGGTTTTTCTTTGGTATCCGTCTACATATGAACCTCTAATATCTTCAGTCATACAGGCTTGTGACTGTGATTTTGCCGTGTTTGTGTTGGTAGATATGCTGTTTCGTCATATTACTTAAAATTATGATCGAAAGAAATGAATTTTTTAAGCAAAAAGCAAAATATATTAGGGGTATGAGTGAAAAATGGGATTAAGTGCTGAAGAAGCAGTGGTGAAAACTTTTTCTTACAATTGTGGTGTATTTGATAATAGAAAAGCTTTACACTGAAGAAACCAGTAAAGCAAATATGTATTGTTTTTCTATATTCCTATATATTATGTTTATTGAGCTAAAAATTTTGGAACAGTATTAGTCAGCTGGGAAATTAGAGACGAATATGTGGCAGGTTAGTATGAGTCTTTTTGCAGATTGTCTTTAACTCGTTTAGCAAGGGTGAATGGGGAAAAGAAGAACGCAAGGGCAATCCTTATAAAAAAGGAGATGATATCGATATTCGAATTCGTGCTCATGACAGCAAATACACAATATATGTTGATCAGGTAACGTCGCACAAAATAATGCATTTTCGGGTGTCCACAGAAGAGTGCAATAATTTAATTGTTGCTTGAAATATGAATGAGGTAGATATTTTAGTACACTTGAAAACATATTGAGCTTTTAGTAAAGCTATATTTGCTGGATTTGATTTTTTGTGTTTATTGTGCCGAAAATGTTTGCTATCGTTACTATTACAATTACTACTCGCAATATGTTTCCTATGAATTCTTGTTACCGTAATTAGACAGTTCGGTATGATTGCTGTAACTGAAAAAAAGAAGTAATGGCTCCTTCCTCTTATTTTGAGAGATATGTGAAATAAGAAGACGAAAAAAAGTGAAAAAAGTAAAATTAATATAAATATTTCTTAGTCGTCGATATTGATCTCTCTTCTTCCAAACCATTTAATTTTCACTTTTTTTGGACGTTTGCCTTCCTGCAAGTTTTTTTTTTGCTGGCTAAATAATGACTAATACGCTCTATTTGTTTCGAGGAATTGAAGAATGAAATTTTTATAAATCAGTTTTAATAAAGCGTTTATGATCTCCAACTGTTTTGCAGAAGGAAGTTAAAGAATACGAACATCGCGTACCACTCTCTTCCGTAACTCACTTTTCGATTGATGGTGATGTACTTATCACGTACATTCATTGGGGAGGCAAATATTATGTAAATTTTCCTAGTTTTTTATCATATATTGTTGATTTGTATTTCACTGAAAGAATTTCAGTAGAAGAAAAATGATTACTCATTTCTATTCGTATGGAAAACGCGGTTCCATATTAGTGTTGATATTTTTTTGAAAATAAGTTGTGACACCATTTGCATTTCCTGAAATATTACAAATTTCTCTCTGAATAGATTTTCACTTTTAGCCTGTACCGTATGAGAGTGGATTGACTGGAGAAGGTTTGGGACCGGGCAAATCTCTTCTCATTTTTGCAACTCCAGAAAAGAAAGGGAAACGTTTTCATATAAATCTGCTCAAGAAAAATGGTGACATCTCACTTCATTTCAATCCACGATTTGATGAGAAGGTTTTCTGTTTGTTTTCTTTTTCTTTTTGAGAAGAAAAGTATGTTTAAAAATATATTTATTATGATAAAATACCGTGAAATATGTTTGTAGGGATTGAAAAGCAATTCTAGATACTAAGTCAAATGAGTGAAGTCAGCTGAATCATCTTTAGAAGCCGCTCACTTTCAACATACATATTAGAACCTCATTGTTTGCTAATCACATAAATTTCAGGATTCGTTAGTAATGATAATTGTCTACTTCAACTACTTTATGTTCTAGTGTTAAAGATCATTTTGAGCGTTCTCTGTATTTTGACATATATATATATATATATAACACATTCAGCTGTGGAAAATCAAAAAATGATTGGTTTTTTCAAGGCAATAGTCCGTAATTCGCTTATTGCTGGTGAGTGGGGTAACGAAGAACGTGAAGGAAAAATGGTGCTTGAGAAAGGAATCGGTTTTGATCTGGAAATTAAGAATGAGGAATATGCATTTCAGGTCTCATTTTTGTGATATTAATTACTTGCTTTTTACTCGGAATCATAAATCGTAATAAAAGTTCTAGTATTCGTTTCATATTGAACTCATACTATGGTAATTTCATTTATGCCAGTCAGTATATATCATAATATTACATTCCATAGGGGACTTTGAGTGTTGTGTTTTCGAAGAATGTTTTAGAGTGAAAATGAAGACAGTAATTTGATTGTTTTTACTTCGCATGCATAAAATGTGTAAAGATTTCTTCCAAATTCTTCAGATTTTCATTAATGGCGAGCGCTATGCTACATACGCTCATCGTTTGGATCCTCACGATATCAATGGTCTTCAAATTGGAGGTGATCTAGAAGTGACTGGTATTCAGATGCATTGACATAAATCGATTTCAACATTGACAATAGTCTTATGATACAAAATCTCTTAAACTCCTATATGGAGCAGCAATCTTTTTACAGTTAATCAAAAATTTTCATTTTGTAGTGGAAATGTCAGTCTTTTTTTCCAATTCCCCGGTATTTATACATATTTGATGCATTAAGTGTTCAAGTGAATCATTAATACCCAAGTTCACTTTGTCTAAGGTTGTGACTATATATCTGAAGATCAAATTTATGCTTTTATTTCAAATTTTTCTGCAGAGTATTTTCAGTGTTTCGTTCAGAACTTGGTTTCTCTGCTACGTAAACTCCAAAATCTCATCGCTGTAGTGATATCATTTCTCTTTTTTTACACAATTGCAGAAAAGAAAGGATATGTTTGAATGAGATTAGATGTTATAGATACATTCACTTTGGATAGTTATTGCATTGAACGTTTATATTATCCTCCTGAAACGTTCCCAGTTTATTTTGATAAAAAAATTTTTGTTTGAACCAAATTTTGTATGGAATTTCTCTCATTTGAACGCAGGCATGTGGTTGATGGAAGAAATTGAAAAATGAGCTAATGAATTGCTTTCTCTTATGCGGTCGATGCTGAGTTGAAAAGGGAGTGCTATTTATCCTCTACAGTTTAGTTTGTTCAAAGTGTGAATTATTCGTGGTAAGTGCATGTAACGTGCGTAAAGGAATTCCTTCAAGTGAGAGGAATTGCGACTCATTACTCGATAACTGACTGCCACTGTCATAATATTAATCCAAATTTTGCTAATCAGTAGTTTGCTTCATTTTTTCTGCTTCACATTCTAAGAATATATCAGTTGCGCTCTACAGCTTATAACGGAACTTTTTATATATGCTCTAAAGCTAATCACTATGCTAGTGTTACTCATGTTTGTGATTAATCATGATGATTTTTTAATAAAATCTAATCTCTATGCAAATTGTTGCGCTGAAAGATTGCATACATTTTAGATTGAAAGTGACTATATGTTTAGGATGGATGTAATGAATGTCTCAGTGACCAGTTCTCCTGTCATTTGAATAGTTTTCAAAATTCTGACTGGAAATTCCGTCAGTATAGTTTATTTTGTCTCTAGTTAAAGTAGGCAGTTTAGAATAGTACACAGCCCTCCTTTTTGTTTGGCAGGCCAATGAGAACGAGTACAAGTGTGATCTGGCATTGACGTAGTGAAAAACAGGCATTCATCGACTGCTACATATATATATGTTTGAAAAAAACAACATGGAAATTGACCTGTCGAGAAGGATTTCATCTATTTTTCGCTGAGATCAATCAATCTTTCTAGCACTGGAAAATTTTATTTGCTTGATTCTTATTTGCAATCCAATTTGTAGGCTATCAATTTTACATATCAATAAGTTAATAATTTCTTTTCACTTTCCATTCGTCTTACTATCGAAAGTCGTTAATAATGATTTGACTTGAAATAGTACACCACGTCGTTTACATTATTAGACGGTAGGCATAGATTGCATTCATTGCATTGATTGTACGTTTAATTGTTAACCTTAACAGCATCATACCATCACTTTAATATTGGGGCTGTGTGAAAATGTTTTTCGCAATTCACTAAAAACTTATTACTTTTGAGTATATGCAAGGACAATTTTTTGCTTTCCACTTCTTTGCGATTACTTGCGAACTTGAAAAGTACTATAAAATCATTCAAACAACAAATTAGAAGATGGTAGAATGTCTGTTTTTTTGATGCGAAAGAGATTAGTTAGAATGCATTATGATTTCATGTCTTATCGTCAATTTTCGTATACGATATATGATCGTATGAAAGTGAGAACCAGTATTAGGCTTTTATGTATCGTATGAGGGCATGCAGTTTAAGTATTTCTTCTTAGAAGTGGTACTCATTTTTCGAATTTAAAAGTCTGCCGAAGGTTAAAACTATGTTTCAGTCTGCAGCGCTCTACAAAAGTAATTCAGTAATCCTTTGTGCTGAGACAGATTCTGTAAGCTAAAGAAGACAAAAAAGAACTTGAGTGTGGCTGGCAATTAAAGCTTCACGAGCCGTTAGCATAGCATGAATTCTCTGTCACAGGCTCATAAAATACTTTATTTTTTGTAGGAAGTCATTCATTTTTCTATCTTCAAAGCAATTTTAGGAATTCCGAAACATTCGGTTTGGATCTTAGTTACTATCATTACTGTCATCAAATTGAGCTGCAGATACTCAACCCATACGATCTACACATTTTAATGCACAGATCGCTCTTTCCTTTTCACTACATTCTTTGGGACTTTCATACTTTCAGTAGGTTTCTGCTTGTTTCTTCTTTGGAAAAGAAAAGAAAAAAAGTTGTATTGAAAAATTACTGAAGTTTTATTCAATGTTGAAAAAGCTTCTGACTTGTGACTTTGAAATATTGCAGAAATTGTCTGAGCCTATATGCATGTTTTCTAAAGTATTAGTTAAGTTTCTGCGTCATCAAATTTTTTTTCGCAAACCATTTAATCTCTGAAAGTGTACGATGGATTTCTAGAGCATAAATATTTCTGTATACATTTGTTTGGTATTATATTAAATATTAAAATTTTTAGTCAGATTATTTCCATTACTTGCAAATGTTATCAATTCTGATTTATTTGTTTTCTCTGTTTGCTGTTCATCAAATATCGGGAAGCGTTTTGAATAGTAAACTATCCATTCCTGATAACGACAAAATATTACAGGTACATGTATTTTGGGAATATGTGTTCTTAAGTGTAGTCATTCAGCTAGAAATTGAGCTTATTTTAAATACATCGTAAAGAAAGTGTAGCGAATTAAACATCTTGAGATAAAATTAAACAAAGCATAAAAACGAAGATTAATTCCCATCTGTACTATAAATAGAGTTTGGCAATTCATAATGCACAAAAACTGCCAGTAGTAAGCTATCGCTACTTTGCATACATCGTTCATATGAGCAATGGTATGCTTTTTTTAATTAAGCAAAGACAGAGTTATGAGAAAATAACATATATTTATCATTAGTGAATCAAACAAGTGGTATTGGAAGACTATATATGCTTATAATTATTAGGATAGTAAAGTAGGGACCAATTTATTCAGTGAAAAGTTAATGTTTTAGTACTTGTAGATATAATTGCAGGAAATAATAAGAAGAAAGGGAACACAATATGTGAATTCAAAACTTCCTTATTCGGAAAGTAATTGGTGGATACCAATAAAAGGTTCAGTTAGATAAATCTCTTTATTTAGTTCTTAAGAAGCATGTATTTATTTCTTTAAAAAAGCATATGTTGTAGATTATTCGCTGAAAGCAACGGTAGTTCGAAACTATGTGAAAAGCACGGGGAAATATTATGCTACATACAACTATTCTCCAATCAGTGCAAAAAGTTTATGCAAGAAAAATGTTTGTGCTTATTACGTTATTCTTATATGGTTCTCACAGTCCGAAAAGCTTATACATTTCCGTATTTAATAAAAAGTGATTTAAGCACAAATGCCTGGGAAATTTTCGAACTGAAAGAAAAAACCTTTATAAAAAATGAGAACACCACATAGCAGTACTTCTTTCTTTTAGAAAGTGGCATTAAGCAGTTTGGAAAATTGCGACTTGGAAACACCAATAACGCGGTATCAGGTCATCACATGTCATGAATTAAATTTCTAACAGTTTTCAAATGAAGCATTATGTTACATTACATTATTTTAGAGCTTCTAATCACATCCAACTTTTATGCTTCTTAAATTTCTTATCACGTGAAATGAAAATGAAAGTTTGTTTTGAAAAGACTTCTTCAACAGGTATGTGATATAATGTTTGCGTGGAGCGAAGGTGATTGGTCAACAGCAGAAATTGAGGGTAAATGCATCATAGTAAAGTCGGTAAAACAGCGCGAATGTTTTCAGCAGATGGACAAGCGTTACTGTTGAAAGCCAGACGCAATATCAAAATATTAATTTTTCACCTTCTTATTCATCTCACTCATTTCATGCCAAGAAAACACCATTTATTTGTATTTTTCTTTGACTTTCATAAAACTTTGTGAAAAAGTTATGCTGCAATTTTTAATGCTTTCATTATAGTTCAGACTTGAACTGATACTTTGATCTTTCATCATTGGAAGCTACACAAAAGTTGCATCAGGAATCGGAACAGTCAGTAGTTTTATGTAATCACACTTCCAATAAATCAATAACATCACATGAGTTTTCTCACTAAATATAGTCTTTACTCATTGCCTCATAAATTTGCACTCATCGGAATATATTAAAAAGCAAACATTGAACGATACAACAATCTACAATATTTTGATAAGACGTATTGCATTCATTGCTTAAGATTCTTACAGTTGAATTGTATTCGAATCAAGATTTTCATTGAAGAATAGCTATTTTAACTTCACTAAACTCGCACCTGGGGAAGTTTCTCATTTCCATATATTTACGATTCGAACTAGCACGAGATGTGAAAACTCGTTCACTTAACATGCTGTATCATATGAGTGTTTCCAATATGCCTATGCAGTTTATCAGTATAAAAATATAAAACCGCCATGTTTTTGCACAGAATAGAAATGATTTTGAGAAATACCTTGAAGACCAAGCCATATTATTTCCACTCACCATGTTAAGATGCTGTAATAATATCGTAATGGTGTTGAGGGTAGTTATAAGCAATCATATTCTATGTATGCATCCATAAAGCAGATAATATTTAGATGTTTAAGCTTTTTTCACGCTTTGACTGCTATATCAGACTGCTGTATAGAGAGCTACACGCAAAATACCACGTATCCTAAGTTATATCTCATCACAAAATAACATAAGGTGGTACAGAGTTGATGCGCATAATTTCATACGAGAACAGATGTAGAATGTAAAATGTTGTATTGTACCGTTTAGTATACGCTTATGCAAAGTAAACTCGGAATACATCCAATTTTTTTCACAAGTACATTCTTAGCTGTGAGCAATCAAATCTAAATTTTTATCTTAGTTTAAATTGTTGTCAAAATGACTCCTTACTTCATGTATGCAACGAAAATGCTACATGTTGTTTAATCCAGACTTGTTATGATAATCGTTAAGTGTGGGAAGTGTGGTCCGTGTTTATCAGTTAGTTGACTTCTGCACACGAAAAATGTATGCAATTTGAGCAGAATCTTGGGCATTTGTATTTCTTAGCATTTCGAAGTAGTTCGTGCAACTTAAAATGGGCAAAAGTAATTATTTCATTCACTTATACAGTGATTGAAGAAGACGAAGAATTAATTAATGGAGCAGCTTAAATTAAAGGTAGCTTTGTTCCAGGTAATCCGACAAATCTTGTGTGGTCTCACGTATTTAATAATGAATTACTCTACAGCTACGATCTCACAACCGCATACTCATATTTACGAAAATTTTTACCGAGAGGTTCACTTTTCGTTCTTTCAATTTCACAGTAAGAAATTCCGTGTTTGAATGTGATTGTGATCAGATGACTTGTAGAAATTTTATGGAAAAGAATCGCTAAATAAAATCATAATAGTAAATCCATGTTTGTCTTCAGGTATTTATATTATTGAATTTCATGGATTATACCCTTTGCGAGTGTGAAAGTACTGTACGAAAATGCATAATTTTTTGAGTGTGTGAGATAAGATCAGTTTTCTGCATTATTTTCCTAGTGCTTTGTGTGACGTTTTCTGTTTTAAAAACATATTGAGTGGTTTTTGTAAGTTGAATTCAGTAAAGTACTGTTTCTAGATGAATTTAAGAGGAAAAGATCTAATACCTGCGGAAGAAGCTGCAGCGTTTCTGAAACGATCAAACTTAAATGTTGCGACTTTGGGACAGGTATTGCTTTTATTCATTATGTGAGATGATGTTTGCTGTGAGTTAATCACATTTTGAAGTGATTTTTTCATCCCAGCATTGCAAATGAGGCGCGGTTTTAAGCAGTAACATCACTAGCATTATTTCGTTGTAATAAACAATATTACAAAATTTCAGTCAGTTGGAAGATGACTCTGCTTACTATATTTTTGAATTTTGTAGTAATAAAGGAAGAGAGTTTTTCTGTTTGTAGATTTGGGAATTAGCAGATTACAATCAGAAAGGATGTTTGGATAAAACTGGTGCTTTTATTGCATTCAAATTAGTGGCGGCTTCTCAGCAGGGATATCCTGCTTCATGGAATTCCTTATCACTGAAACTTGGACCACCATCCTTTGCATCTAGATCTGCGACTCCATCCATACCTAATTTTGGTACAGTGTCAGCCGGTGTTGCAGACAGTTGGACAATCACTCCAGCAGATCAGATGAAATACACTTCGATCTTTGATGGCTTGCATCCAGTTGAAGGGAAAGTACCTGGAGATAAGGTAAAATTTAATTTCTTCCTGAAAGTAGGTATTATGAAGTGTTTTCTTCTGAATGATTTGAGCTTCTGTGCTGTATAAATATCAAGTTGTTACGGTCAAGTACAGACACACTAGTTCGAAATATGTGACTGAATGTTTTTAGTATGCTTTTTGATTATGCTAGAACAAAATTTTGCTCGTATTTTAAAATTTTATGGCTTTACAGATTACTCAAAGGAAAAAAGTTTCTGTTCATCATTAAAATTTACCTTTTTTTAAATCTAAAAACAATGTTACTTGATTTTTTGCTTTTGTTTAAAAGATATTTTGAGGTTCGTCCTGTGCTGTTGAATTCTGGACTTCCTAGTGCATCTTTAGCACGAATTTGGGAATTAGCGGACATGGACAAGGTTAGTAGGGAAACATTGTAATCATTGCAATGGAGTGTTTTTGAAATGTTGATAGCCAATTATTCGAATGGTTAGTTGGTAGTATTAAATCAAGAAACGAAAGTTAAGAATGGTTCTTTTTATCATATTGTTCTATCATAATTTAAAACTTTGGACATGGAAAATTCAATTGCTTATAATGTGCTTTGGATATTTTGATTCTCAAGGGTTTTTACTGTCTCCTCCCGATATTGAAATATTTTTTGAGTTACAATTTTCGGCTGCAATTCTTGTTTATTTTGATTTTTTCGAGGACGGTAAGCTTGATCGTATCGAGATGTGTATCGCATTACATTTAGTTTACTGTGCTCTTCAAGGAGAACCAGTTCCGAACGCTTTACCATCATCTCTCATACATCCAACAAAGCGTAAATTTGTGCAATTATCAAACGTTCCTCCGGTGTCTTTATCTCGTAAGGCTTTTTATATCATGAAATTTTTATCATCAGTATTTGAGGTTAGACATTTGTAAGAAATATTTTGCAATGCCTAATATAAAAAAACTTTCAGAATTAGGTGGAAATCGACATAGAACCAGTTCAGTAGTATCCTTAGAAAATGCTGAGCAGCCTACACATCTGTCTGAAAGAACACGATCACAAAGCGTTCAGCCAACAACCGTCACTTCATCGACTATTTCTGTTAGTCAGTTTAGAAGAAAATCACTGTGTGATCTTTAAAATTTTCACAACTTGAATCTTTATAGTTAACTTATAAATATAGTCATTAAATTCATAGTTTTCAATCTTTATTGCAGCCACCACCTCCTTTTTTATCTCCTGCTACTGCTTGGCCAGTGCAGACAGCTCTTTATGAAGCCAACTTCAAACAGGTTTTTATTTGTAATGTTTTTAATTGTATTTCAGATATTTAACTATTCTCTTTGTGAGGATGAACTTCACTCTTTTATGAGCGTGTTGTATTTGTCATTTTTTGATTGAATATGAAATCCTAAATTTTTCTCAAGAACAGATCTTGTTAATTAATGTCCACTTTTGTTCACCATCGATGACGCAATTAATTTACATCAGCTAGCTGTAAAATCTCCCATAGATTATATGTCACCATATTTTTTTTCATCCAATCATTTTTCTAATTATAAAATCGTGTTTATAAAAACTGCTTGGTTCAATTTATTTTGTAGGCGGATTCTAATCAAGATGGGTATGTTTCGGGTGCAGATGTTCGTGAAATTTTAATAGCAACGGGTATGCCACAGAATACGTTGGCTTTGCTTTGGTCGCTTGTAGATCTGAAAAAAACAGGAATTTTAAATTTGGAACAGTTTGCTCTGATGTAATTTTTTAAGAGTTCAATGTAACTGATTATATTCAGAAATTTAATTTGATTGATTATATAATTTAAAGCTGCATGAATTTTTTTGTTATGGAAGTTTGGAAAGTTTTTCAGTATGCATCTGATCGAAAACCATAAATGTGGGAAACCGATACCATACGCATTATCTCCAAATTTGATACCACCTTCATTTCGATCATCAGAAGCTCCTGCATCTGCTTTGAGTAGTGGATACATCACAGTAACTCATTTGCTGTTCACTAAAATTTGAAGCTTGTAGAACTTTCATCTTATTGCAGATGAGTTTTTAGTTTAAATAAATTAAAAGTTTTTATAGGGTTTGTTGAATAAGTACTTTCTCTTTTGAAACAGGCTTGCATTCCATCTGAAAATGAGGAACTAGATGCACTTCGACGTGAAGTGGAAAATTTGATTTTGGAGCGTCGAGAAGCTGATCAAGAAATTGTCCAGTTAGAAGCTGACATGACCGTCAAGAATAGCGAGATCAAAAATTTAAAGGTCTTTATAAACATCTGTTTGATTATCGTGTTTAAATAGTACTATAACCATGTTATGTATAGATTGAACTATCAACATTGGAAAATACTGTGATACAATTGGAAAAACAAAAAGGAGAGGCAGAGAAACGACTCGAAACACTTGACTTGCAGATTTTGCATTTGGAACGAGCTGTAGAACAATCAAAAGAAAAGGTGAAGGAAGAAGAAATAAGACTCACTGAGCTGCGTTCGCAGAACATAAAAAAAGATGACAATAAGGTTAAAAATTTTTTCAGTATAAATTCCTTTTCTTTCACTTTTCACCTTCATAATATTTGTAGTTAGCTTTTTACTGATGTTTTATCTAACTCTGCATTAAAAAAAAATTCTGGGGAATTTTCCAGTTTAACTTATTTTATAGTTTGTGGTTGTTAAATGAAAGAGTTCAGCAAGTCGCTGTTCGTACTTGTGCTTTTTGTGATTATTCACATCGCTATTTGATTTTAATGATATCTTTATTATAATGTACTGATTTTTTTTGATAGCAAGATGAAGAATTACTGCAAGCACAGCGAGAAATTCTCTCTTTGGAAGAAGAGAAGAAAATGCTATCAGTGACTGTATCACAACGTAATTCTGCTATTGAGAATGCTTCTTTAGAACTTACCAAAGTATTTCCTGATCTTTAGCATTTTCTATCTATTCAGCATTTAAGAGTACTACTTTTGAAAGAGATCAAATTACACGTGCATGTAATTTGAATGCACTTCTAAATTGCATTAGTTTCTTTCACTATTGACTACTTGTTTGGATCTAAAAAAATTTCATTTTTGGAAATCATTATACAGTTTTTCGGATTTTTTTCAAACATTCAGAACTGTTTCTAGCATATGACATTGTATTGCAGCTAGAGAACAGATATGCAGCTGCTGAAGAGAAAGCAAAGCGTATTGAAGTAGAAAATATGAAATTAAAGCAAGCAGTGGAACGTCTTACTTATCTAATTGAGAATAACGATATCGAAGTATTAACTAAAGAAAGAAATGAACTTTTCGCAGTCCTGCTAGAAATATCTCCTGTAATTGTTTATTTTTAACTTGTTTCGATGAAAATAGATTTGTTTCAATAATTGGTGAAGGATTCAAGTTATAGTTAAAAACTACTTTGTTTAAATTAGCTATGAACGCTTTATTTGTGTTAATATATTGTGCAAATTTCTAGGTGGCCGGGATGGAAAAATTTGATCTCTGCCCAGCTTTTCAGGGTGATCCTTTTGCTGCAGCTGGTTCACCAGGTTTTATTTGAACATTTTTGTAATTTATAGTCACCTATTCTGTTCCATCTAGATAATATATAGGTAATGGATTTGGGACTGACCCTTTCGCTGGCACCAATAATACACCCTTTACAAATTTCGATGTTTTTACGGGCAAAGATCCATTTGACTCCGATAATATTGGTGCAGAATTGTCCATAGCATCTGCAAAAGCACCACCTCCACGACCTGCGCCTCCAAAATTGCGGCAAACTCCAATGGAATCGGATCCATTTTCTGGGACGTACGTACTTATTAATTCACTTCTTTTTATAATAATGTTTGAATGGCATTTCTTTTATCATAATTGATTAATTTCAGTCATTTCCAGCATTTTTCAGAGATCCATTTGTTGAAAGTAGATCAACGACAGTGAGTGTGACAGGAAACTTTGCAGATTTTAAAAATTTTGATGCTTTTGCAGCACCTTAAATTGCTATTTTTATTGTATATCTGTTCTTAGTTTTAAGTAAAAAAATTTAGGAGGGAGGGTGATGCTAAAAAACCTTACTGATATGTTGTTGTAAAAGTGTTGTGTCATGTATTTCATACGTTTCTTTTAATATTTCGAGAATATGTGAGAGAAGAGCAACATATGCTGACTAGTCGTTGAAATCACAGATTTCTTTTCCAAAAATTCAGTTTAGGTTTTCATCACAACGTATCGGCAATTCGTAATACTTTGCGCATGTAATGTGAACAGAAGTCATGCATTGCATCAAGAACCTCTTTCGATTCATATCTGACAATGCATTTTGTCATACTGAAAAATAAAAGTTAAAGTTAAGATAAAATGCTCAAACTGGGTATTTCATCAAATTTAATTTTGATATATATAGAGATTAGTGAGTGATTTGTCTTTATAGTACTAGTTTCTTTTTAATGCTGTATGATAGACGCAAGTTGCTTTCTGCTTTTTGTGTTTACTGAGAGCATTTATTGTTCTGGTTTGGTCTTACCCGTGTTAAAAAACGTGTGTTTTTGAAGTGTTGACCCAAAAGATTCTTTGCTATATATATGAAGACCTTTGATGCTGTAACTGACTACGATTACAGCATTAGGGATGACAATAAATAAATACATGAATTACAGCCAGTATTATTCGTAATTCACACTTTGTTTTGGTAGTTTCATATTCTTTTAATGTGCACATCAAAGCAATAAACAGTCCAAATTTTTTTGTTAATTTTGAAAGCATGAAAACTTCGAATTCAGATGTGACCAAGTTTTGATTAGTTTGTATGTTAAACCACATCTTAGTTTATGTTGCTTTATTAAACATTGGTGAATATATTTCGGCAGGGTGGGTTATGCGAGTATATAAACTACATTGACTTCGGGAGAGTTGAATAGTTTGCTTCTTTGTGAATAATATGGCTATTTGGGTGTTGGAGTATGGTGGCTATATTTTTCTGTTGTTTTGGTGTGACTGGAAGGCTATGACATGCTGGCAAATGTAGGATTTCCATCATTAAGTTTTATTAATGTGATTTGTGGTCGGTGGTGGTAATCGTTAGGTTCAGTATATTCCGTAAAGTCATTCGGAAACAAGAAATTGTTTTCTTGTTCACTGGTAGCTTCTAATTTTGGGATATGTCTGAAGCGTAACTGTGTTTAATGAAGAATTAGTATATAAGTCAACGATTCTGAATGAGTATTTCAGAGAAGATGGAATGTGGTATAATGAGCTGTTTTTTAAGACTAGATCTTAGCTTTGAAATATAAATTTTGGAGTATATGTTAGGCTGCATTTTACACGTTCATTTTCGTGTTTATTCAAATAATCACACTGATAGGAAGCAAGAACTAAATATTTCATATCGTTAGAGTTATTGTATCGAATTTAAATGAATATTATATACCTTGAAACACAAAAATCTTAACGATAACATAACAAAGAACAACATCATTACTGTGAAGTAAACGCTATTGGAGAGGATTTTAGCAATGAAGAAAGTAATGATCAGAAACCTATAATGGTATATCTTTGAAGTAATGATGTCAGTATTGACTATTAAAAGCAGTTTTCTATATATGTCATGTAAAAAATAGGCGGAAATCGACAGTAAAAGCCCAATAAGTATTAATTTTATAGCTGTAAACCAAGCAGACTATTTGATTAAAAATTCATATAAAGATGGCTATTGTCTCAGAAACAAAATACATTTTTAATGCAGTTTCATTTATATTAAAGACCTACACTGACCAATTTTACTTAATTTAATGAATTTGTATTATCTTTCCACTTTCGAATCAACTGAGTGATTTCTGACACTATCACTCAAAATAGCCATAGATCATTGAAACTGAACTTTCATCAGATTCCATCTTAGATTTTGAATTAAAAACTAAATAATCGATATAAGGTAGTCATTTTATAATATCACATTTGAAATATAATTACATATATTTCAAAAAAATACGCGAAAGCAAAGAGATGTAAAGTAATCAATTATTTGGTATCTATTTCAGTCAGTGATTAAAAGTAAAATTTATTAGAACTCTTATCTTCTACCTTCAGACTTAATCAGATTACTCAAAGAAAATTAATGACGAAAAAGTATCAGATGAAAATGTTTCGCGTACGAACGTTGCATCATAATGTAGAATGACATGAAAGCAAAATTCATGATGTTTATTTTTTTTCTCGCAATACGAAAATAAGATATGCGTAATGAATGGGTGCAGAAGTGCAGAATGCCGAAAACATCATATATAATTATCGACTAAAACTTATTATTATTAAATATTATTATTATTATTTAATTATTATTGTTTAATCCAGCAGAAATTTGTCCACTGTCTGCACTGAAGTACCATTTGTGAAATTTATGCAACAAAAAGCAAGTGTGCTCTGTGGCCATCGCTACCTCCTAAACAATCTCTGTTCATGACGTAGAACAATATATCTATGGTGGATGCTTTTGTTCAACTTTATTAATCTGTCAATGATGATTTGCTTTAGTTTTAAACTTTGTGCCGGTATTTATCAGATTAAAATACAAATTCATAAGATATCATAATCAAATCTTAATCTCACTATATAAATTATAATAACTGTTTTTACAGCTTATCCCTCATTAGCATCAATCAAAAAAAATTAGGAAATTATATCTTGAACGTTCAATTTTTATCGGAAATATATCAAAAAATCATTTGAAAAGTTTGAATTCCCTCAACTATGGTAGGTAGCAGGAGGTATTTATATGAGGTTCCTTTGGTTCCTTTAACTATTTGTTTGACAAATCATTTTCTGATTCTCAGCATAAATCAATTATCTTTTGATTCGTCAATTTTTACAAAGTTATTGCAAGTTGAGACTTTGCATGTACTCTTGATTTTCGTTCTGTCCTCTCTGCAATTTTTATAATCAACGAGGAATTAATGTTTCGATATGACGACATTCACTGGCAAGTGAAAGCAGCGACTCATTATAATTGTTGCCTAGCGTGACATTTCAAATTGATTAATATTATATATGAGTTGCAAACTGCCACGAAGGAAACTAAAAATGAACGAAATAGAATGGGTAATGAAGTGAGAAGCGCATTAATTGAATCATCAAGTTGAATAGAGAATGATATTTTGCTGGGAGATTTTAACTCCATTGGCTGCAGAATAATGATATAAAATGGATGCTGTGCACTTCTAGAAATGAGGCCTCCGTTTAATCGATGTTTGAGATATCTATCACACATCATGAAGTCAATATGGACTGACTCTCCTTTATGGACTAACTTATAACTTCTGAAACTGTTTTCGTTAATTGGCCTTAATGCGCATGAGAAATTGCTCTGAATTCATGCGAGAGAGTCTTTTTTTAATTATTTATTTCTTTTACAAGTATCAGACGTTGAGTTTATCTCAATTCGAATTAAAAGAATTGCTTGTTTCTACTTGAGTAGAAGTAAAATGGAAAATTTCATTATGACATTAAGTTGATAAATTTTATGCAGTCAGGTCTGCTATCTCTATTATGACATACAAATTGTTTGACATGACATGAATATTAGTGCTGATGATTACGATAAAAATGAAATAGCCACTTCGACAAGTTAATTATTCCGATAATTACTGAGTTTATGAAAAGTTTGTTGTGGTGGTTGTTTATATGATAATCCAATTATTAAGTGATGTGAAACTCTTAGCAGACAGAAAAAAAGCTGGCAGAGAATGTTTGTGCTAAAGAAACATTCAGTCAGTCTGCTTCACGAGGATTCCAAGTCTTAGCCAAGCTGGCGAGAGTTGCTCGGCTCTTTCACGAATCGATTGCTCCATTGCAAGGGTAATAGGCACCATTTTGAGTTGCATACTTGCGGAAGTAATTCTGGTGCTTGCAGTGTTTATCATTATTTGTTAACAGCGCTGTTGTCATCTCTGTCATATATTATATATATATATATATATATATATATATATATATATATATA